TCATTTTATTGCTATTCTGTGATCCTTCTAAGATTTTGGGAAGCAAATAATCCCTACACAGAAACCTGTCTCCCCCACTACTAAATAGTGAGAGAAGCAGAGAAGAAGACACTGTAATTGCTGTCAGGAGACACATGAACACATTTGACATATAGACCCACATTTATTAGAGGGGCATCCTCAGCTGGCCCAGAATAGGGGGCTATTGCAGGGGAAATTTCTGTCTGCCTTTGCCAAGGGCATCTTTCTTATCACCATTTACTACTAGCAAGCTGTTCACTCACAGATCTACCCACAATGCTGAATGATAATGTTCATAAGTGATAAAGCAGCCTCATTAAAAAAGTTCCCAACTGACTGTGGTGGCTGGGGAATGCAAGTTGAGTGGCAAGCACGGGGAGTCAGAAAGAGCACTTTGAGCTATGCCTGCAGCAGAATAACACCCAAAGAAATCACTGTGCAGACACTATCAGTGAATGCCAGAAGGGCCTTGAAGTAAATTGTAGAGGATTTGATTGTTGGTCTCAGCAAAATACCATCCAGACCTTGTCAGCTGTGGAAAATGGAAAGAAAGAGTCGGAGCCTATGAAATGCAAGGGCTCCAATTAGGCAAAGCCTCTTGGCTGTTGGTTCATGCTCAGTGCAGGTACTCTGTACTCTGCCTGCAGTACTGAGCTCACTGCAGGTACTGCAGACACAACACAGAATTGCAGAATCTTAGTGTCACCAAAACCAAGGGAGTCAAAGAAGCTCTCCAACACCATCTTTAAGTATTAGAGAATCAGGCATTACTTTATTCTGGCCAGGGTGTGCAATGAAAATCCTTCCATCCACACATGACAACAGTATCAGAGCGTCATTTCTGGTGGCGACAACCTTTAAGATTGTTGAGTCTGAGCACTAACCCAGCACTGCCAAATTTCACCTTTTGCCCTGAAGTGGCAGAAATGGGGTGGGGAGGGAGAGGGAGGGGCTCCAAAAATGGCTTGTGTGAGGTGAAGAAGCCAGCGCTGTTCTTAGAGAAAGATTGCCAGTGTTACAGTCTTCCTTTCGGTCATGCACAACCACATAATCTAAATGACAGCAAACCCCAAGATTATTTTTGTCCACAGTGATCTGGAAAAGCAATTGAAGGATTTCCATCCTATAAAAGTACACTCTGTGCCAAACAGTAATAGGGCTTTAAGACTCCATGGTCTGGTACTCCTAAGTCCCTGTTGCAACTTCACTGTCAGCTGAGCCTGGAAGCCCTGTATGCATCAGGAAAGGCAGAGGTAATGACAAAAGGTCTTGCAGCAAGGAAAGGAGGTTTAGTTAGCCAAAATTCCTGCATTTTATCAGCCAAAAAGTGCTGTGTGTGCAAAGGGAATGCCTCCAGACTGGCACAATATGGTATGGAGGTATTGCCTTTGCTCCCCTTAGCTTTGCCCATATAACTCACAAACTGTGGTGGGGTCAAAGACAAGCTGTTAAAATCTAGGAATGAAATAGTATCTCTGGATTGCCAGAGGGAGGAGGTACCAAGTGCTGCTCTTTGCCAGCAACAGGGACTTCTGGGCATAAATCAAGGTTTCATCTATGTTACCACAGCTGTTGCTGTGCATTTCTCTTCCCTGGTACTATAGGAAGCCTCCACTCTCTTCTGTGCTCCACAGCTGCTCATTATCATGGAGGGCAGCCCTGCAGCAGCCCCAGGACAGCTCCTGTCATGGCAGCAGCCCTGCAGCACTGGGAATTGCATAAGCAGAGGGAAAGCCATGGGCAAATACATTCATGTATGTTTCCAGGTGATGCCTTGAGTTTCTTGCACAGCCCACCCATTCCCATGGGCACGTGGGGGACAGTGGTGGCAGTGGCAGAGCAAGAGGAGGCTGGTGTTTGTACAAGGTTTGGGTTGGGGCTGCCTTACAGACCACAGCTCTTGTGGTCTTGTGGCTTTAGAGATGAAGACCATGGCAGAGCTCAGCCCTGCTGCAAATATAACAGGCCTGGCTTGTTTGCTGTGCATTTGTGGTCTGATATCTGGGTGCCAGACATCCTTGTGCCATGCTGGAAATGTCAGAGGGGATGCTGTACCTGCTTTGCAGCAGTAGCACCAGCTGCCTGTCCCTTGTGCTGCCCAGGGCTCCAAGGGGCAGAGGACTCAGCCTTCCTCACCAGGTTCCTCCTGCAGCTGGGGTGGTGGCAGAGGGTAAAATCCCAGGGTATCCAAGGATGAGTGGGTACTGCCCTAGAGCACAAGGAGGGGTGGAAATACTTTTTCTGCTTCAGTATTTTAGTTATTTGAGTACCCAATTGTCACCAAATTTGAGATCTGCTGCCCAAATGCAGTATATGTGTGCATCTGTGTAGCTGATCAAAATAGCATGTTCAAAATGCTGGAGTTTTTTTAATGTCTGTGAGTGATTTCTTTTAAAAAATAGCAGTGAAACTTCAGAATGGAAAGATTACTACGTTACTGAAAACTCAGTTTGTTTTCAGGGTTTTCCCAGGAATTAATGAGCAGCTGCATGTTGGAAAGAAATTCTTTCTCATGAGGCTCTTGGGAGGGCTCAGGAGTCTTTATTGAACAATAACTGGAAAATTTGACCCAGAGAAAGAGTTCTCTATGTTTCTTGGAAACACATGATTCATGTTCTAGTCTCATTTTGTAGCCCTTGAACAAGACAGAAATGTAAGGGGAAAAGTAGGAAAATGAAAAGGAAGAGAGGGAAGCCAGCAGTAGGAAATGCATGTGTCACAGGATGAGCTTGGCAGAGTTTCCATGTGAGCAGTGAGGGAAAAACAAATGTTCTTTTGTCTATTAAAACTACTCTTTGCAACACCTTATTTTTACTTTTGTGAAGCATTCATAATTTTCCTTCTGTGAATTGATGAAGGAATCCAGATGAGTATTAAATACAAACATGGATTTTGAAAAAAAATATATGAAAAACATATTTTCCTAGAAAGATGCCATGATTCAGTGGGGCCCATACTGAAAATTTTTGAACTCTTGAGAACTTAACTCATTGTGGCACAGAGATCAGGGACACTGCAAGTCATTGCTTAAGTCTTAATCCTGGACCTTGCTGTGGGACCTTTGCAGTCAGTCAATATGGGTATTAATTCAAGTCTGTGTATTACTGAAGACTGTAGGGGGGCCCAGAAAATGATCACATAAGCATCATGTACTGTTGCTTCAGCTCCTGGAAGAGCAGTTTTAATGATTTTGTGCTGTGGACTGTGGCTGCTGCTGAAGTGGGGAGTAAAGATCCCTATTTCCATTACAAAGAGTGATGTTTAATGATCAGCTGTAGTATTGATATCACCGTCTCAGGGCAGTATCCTCATGCCTCGAACAGCTGGTCATGCACACAAAATGAAGCGTTGTGGGAGAACTGTTGCGTGGGGTGAAGAGTTAACTCTGAGCTCGCATCTTCAGGCAGAATTTGTTTTCCCGACTCCCTTAAGGATGCAGGGCTTTTCCTTGGCAGCAAAAAGACACCTCTCCGCATGGCAAACTCGCCATCTGCAGGCCAGTGAGGCAACTCGCCAGGGGCAGGGAAGAAACAGCCCCACAAGCTCAGGGACACCTTGCTTACGGTGGCCTTACGATTTCCTGCTCTTTTCTGCCCCATTGAACAAAAGGAAATCACTCTCGGGGTGTTATCCCAAAGAAGTTTAGAGTGTTTGTCTCTGGAGCTTAATCCTATCCCAGTCGATTGCTTAAAAATGTAAAAAAAATGGGACTTGATGTCTCTGCAGCAGGCTTCTTCTGCCCTTATTAACTCAGGTCTGGTCTCAGCTGCAAGGAGAGAGCACAGCTTCCCAGCCCTGGCCTTAATACCCTCCCCCAGCTATTACAAATCAGCCCTGTTTCATCCCATGAAACACAGTTGTGATTAGAACACACTGTTTCATAAGCATATTTTTGCCATGAGAACATGTTTTATTTTTTTAAAGATACTAAAACCTAGTGTTTCAGGAAGTTTGAGCTTTCTTTGTCAGGCTGGAAGAATATTATTGGAATGCATTTTTCTATTTGAAATAAATCTTAAGGAGGATATTTACCTTATTTCAGGGGTAATTTTGCACTGCTCTAGTATGTCAGTTGCATCCAATTAACCATAGAAAGTCAAAACCTAAAGAAAATGTTTCATTTTCATAATGTTTCCATTCAGCCCTCAAAAAAAACCCCAAAAAAACACAAGAGAAAACTGAAGCAACCTCAGTTTCCCTCCATTTTGAATAAAAACTATCTCTAAGCTGAGATGATTTTTCATTTAAACCTGGGTTTCTAAAGAAGAAAGCATAAAGAAAGACCTGATTTTGCATTTCTTTCTGCCTAGAATTGGGCACTGGTGGTTTACATTGGAGAGCAGTGTCCACCTGTTTTTAAAAAAATATTTAAAGAAGACTGAACCTGATTTGGTCACCAGATTACTGACTTCTTCTGCCAGCCATGAACCACAGGTAGCCAAACCCGACCCAGCCCTGCCACAGCACTGGGTTTGTTTCAGGTGTGCATTTGAAAACTGCCCTCACCAAGCAAAGGCAAGACAGCAATCAGGTCATGCAGCCCTGGCCAGCCATCCCCTCTGTGGGCAGCACAGGAGGAAGCTGGTCCAACCAGCCCTGTCCTCAGCCCATTGCTGCTCTGGTTTCAGTAGCCAGAGTCACCTCCCTGACACACAGTTTTCCTTTTGCCCATGGCTGAGGACCCAGCAGGGAACAAGCTGCAGAAAATGTAGTTTGCTGGGCTCTTTTCAAAGCCATGCCATTTGCATAATTAATGGTCCATATTTTCTACCTATTCCCAGCTGTCACATGAAACTTGTGTCAGCTCTCCTGGGAGTAAGGAAAACAGTTTGTATACTGATGAGACATTTACTGGTGCTATTTGTCTTCATTTCTCATGCTTCTTCCCTGATAATGACAGAATGAATACCAAGTTGTTATTTTATATGCTTTCACTATTTTAATCTTCTCAGCACACCAATAAGACTCAGTGGTACAAATAAGGAACCCTCTGAGGAGGAAAACAGTTTTATTAAGAAATCTGTATGGCATGACAATGGTACAGATTTTCTTGTCAAATGATGTGTGTAATTTAAATGAGTTAATAAAGAAGATGTCTTTTGGGGATTTCTGGTCTTCTGCAATAAGTGTCCTGGAGCTTGGAGACAGAGTTGAGATACATTTGGTGGGACCTTATTTGGGTGTTTGGATCACTGCTGCCTGCACTGTTCCCATTCCTGAGAAGAATCAAAGATCTCAGGAACTGGATTAGCAATCCAGAGCTGCCTTTTGATAGTCCATTGTATTGGTAAGAATCCCAAGGAGCACAAGGATTTCACTCTGATGGTGTAATTTGGCTTCACAGTTGTTTCTTGAGAAGGATGGGCTGGCTCTAAAGTGTCCAAAATGCTTCTTTCTGTGATTCCTTCCAGAAGTCTTGGGAAGTACAGTGATGGAAAGGACTCATCTACTGTTTAGACTGCATCTCAACCAGCAACTGCAGCAAATGGTGTTGTGCAGCCTGCAGAAAGTAGTTGAAGTTCTTTGTGGTAAAGGCAGGCACTGGCTGCATTCACCTACAGGGCTGCAGGGAGCTGGCCATCCCTGCACACCTATTCTTTTGCTCACATGCTTTTCTTTCTGTGGGGAAATAGGTGCCCATGAAACTCTCCTGTATTTCTGGAATCTGGGGCACTTTATTTAGAAGGGGCTTTGGTTGCCTAACATGAAGCATCTTATGAAAGAATCTTGATTTTCAGAGAGCAAATGCTGAGCACTTTCCCCAAAAAGTGTGATAAGATGCCCCTTTTTGGACATTCAGGGTCACTATCAATTGTTTAAAAGAGAGCTCAAAGCTATTTGGTGGCTTTTTGATGATAACCAGTTCAGTGCATTATAGATTTTTATGGCTTTATTACTGCCAGTGATTTTTCCCTCTGGCAGTACATTTCTGCTGCTGAATGACAAGCACCATTGGGAGCCTGCTGTAGTGCTTGTTTGCCAAATGAAAATCCCACCATCTTACACGGTTGTTTTTGCACCTACAGCTGAGGACACACTGAGGTTACCACCAAGTGCAGTAACAGGAGGTGTGTAGCAATTCCCTAAACTGTTTCATGTCCTTCAGGTCATAAGAGATAAAATACTGACCTGCTGATTCTTTGGTTATCCAGTATACAAAAAGTCTTTTTAGTTGGCAGGAAAGTAGATACCTAGCAAGCTTCCCCCCCCCCCCCCTTTTTCCTAAATTCTCATCAAGGAGTGAAAAATGTTTCAATTCTATAGAAAGATGTTTATGGAAATGAAAAGGAGAAATAAAGCTCACAGGACCTAATACATTTTGGAAACCACATTGTGAGTGCAACAGTTGAAACTGTTTTGCTGATAATGCGCATCCCTGTGCTCATTTCTCAGGTAAGAGAAACCCCCTGCCCCAAAATCTGTAAGGATCCCAGCTATTACTTGTCAGGTTTCTCTGATTAACCAGACAACCTTCTTTTGGATGGTGTCCATAGTGGCACAGGAATAAGAGAAAAAATGTATCCCTACATTTTCCTACTATTCCTGGCACTATTTTTCATCTGCTTTCACCACTGCTTGCCTGCATCCTGCTTTACAAATGCAACCATTAGGTGGGGCATTTCTACTGTCAGCAGCCCAGATTTTATTTGCAGCATCTTGTGCCTGGGACAGATGCTGAATAGTGCTGGAATATGAGATCTCTTCTGTTATCCTTAGTGCTTTCTTCTTTTATTAGCTCCATTGACATCCAAAAATGTACAAAGGGAGAAACGTGAGTCAAATGAGGTCTTGGTCTCTAATTTTTTTTGTCATGTGTGATGTGTTAAATGCTATCCAACTGAAGAAGATGCTGATCAATTACTAAGTTATACAGTTCATAGCCAAAAGTGTGCACTCACTCATTGTTTTTCAGTTCATTTGAACAATTTGGAATCAGACAGTACTTCCAGGACAACTATTTGTTCCTGGTTTCAATGTCTGGGTAAAAGCAGTGACACATTTCCTGACACTGCAGTGGACCATTTGTGTCTTATGAAACAGCACTGGCCTCTGTTCCTCCATGGGGTAAACCTTCACAGGGTTTGGGCTTCTTTTGCTGGGAATAGCTATTCTTTATGTGCCCTTTTTAAATTTGAAAAATAATTAAAAAAAAATCACTGAGGAGCTCATTGTTATGCTTACATAGAGACAATGCTCACCCAGCATGGCTGAGCAGCCCTTTCTGAACTGGGGGGAGAGGGAGCTCTCCTATGGCCCTCTGAGCTCTCCTAGCACCTGAAGTCCCAGAAATGTAGGCATCACTTTCACTTCATGAAACTTTTGGAGAAAGTGATGGGCTCTTTGCAAACCCAGGATCCTGAGGCCTGGGTTTGTCCCAGTCAGCCCCAAATGCTTTAATCAAGGACTGCATTGCTGCAGGAGATGGAGGGAGAGAGAAGCACATCCACACGACAGTTGAACTTGTTCTGAGTTTGGGGACCTGGAGAGGGCCCCAAAGGCAGAAGTTTGTCCTTCAGTCAGAAATGTGGGAGGATGAGTGGGGCTGCTGGAGCTGGTGGGCATTTGTCCAGCACTGTGAAGGGGACTGTACTGTAACTCTGTACCAGGTCCAAGCTTGACTATCTAAACAACCCCAAACCAATCCTTTTGGGATTTCTGTATTACTAAGCCTGGCAGGTCACCTGCCAAGAAGAAGGGCTAGGGGAGATTTGACTATGGTCTAATTAGAGAGGCCATAAGGCCATAAAAAGTGTGAAGGACTTTCCTGGTCACCTGTGATGTTCCCCAGGGCTCAGTACTGGGTCCAGTCCTGTTTAATACCTTTATCAATGATCTGGACAAGAGGACAGAGAGGCTGGAAAGGTGCCTGGAAGAAAAGGACCTAGGGGAGGACATGAGCCCACGTGTGCCCAGGTGGCCAAGAAGGCCAATGGCATCAGGGCCTGTGTCAGCAATAGTGTGGCCAGCAGAACCAGGGCAGTGATTGTCCCCCTGTATTCAGCACTGGTGAGGCCACACCTCAAATTCTGTGCTCAGTTTTGGGCTTCTTGATGCAAGAAGGACATTGTGGGGCTGGAGCATGTCCAGAGAAGAGCAATGGAGCTGGTGAAGGGTCTGGAGCACAAGTCTGATGAGGACCTGCTGTGGGTGTTTAGCCTGGAGAAAAGAAGACTGAGGAGGAACCTCATCACTCTCTACAACTACTTGAAGGTAGTGAGGTTTGTGTTGGTCTCTTCTCCCAGGTAACAAGAAATAGACAAGTCCAGCAAGTCTTGGACTTCAATAGTCCAAGACTTGAGACCACGCAAAACTTAAGTGGTTCCAAGTTGTGCTGAGGGAGGTTTAGATTGGATATTAGGAAAACCTTCTTCATCAAAGTGAGTGTCAGGCATTGGCACAGGCTGCCCAGGGAAGTGGTGGAGCCATAGATCCCTGGAAGTGTTCAAAAAATATGTGGATGTGATGCTTAGGGACATGGTTTAGTGGTGGACTTGGTGGCGCTGGGTAATGGGTGGACACAACAGTCTTAGAAATCTTTCCCAACCGCAACAAATCTATGATTCTGTGATTTTGCTGTACAGGCAGAAGAAGCCAGACAATAGAGAATTTATTCTTCAAGTCTGGTGCAAATGCTCCATGCTTTAAAGACTTTTCTCAAATGTGAAATGAAATAATGGACAGTAAAAAGTAAATTGTGCTTTTGGTTTAGCACAAAAGAATAAAGTGGCCTTTATGGTTGCCAGCTTATAAAAGTTTGGTTGGGCGAAGTAAACCCTGTGTGTAAGGGCAGTGTTGTATTTCCAATAAAATCTATTTTAGTTTTTGAGGACTGGTGTGATACATAAATAAAATTTTCATTTTGTGACCCTCTCCATGCCAGAAAGCCTAATTCTTGGCAGGTTGGGAAGGAAAAAGGAGTCAAAGTTTAAGCCTCTTCAGTGGTCAGGAGACACAATGTTCGCATTCCCACTTCCTCCCAGCAATGTCCCCAACTGGGCCAGCCCAGTTGTCATGTATGTGACTCACGTATATTGTGCTGGCAAATGGGTTTGATGTCAGCTTGCTGCCAGCCTGTTCTTGCCCTCAATCTCTTGAGGGCAGTGGGTGGGGGCATTCTGCCAACCTGTGCTTAAGGAGCAGCCAGCCCTCAGCTGCAGAGTGTGGTCATGGAGAGCATCATAAAAATGGAGGGGAATTCACTGCCACAGGGAAGCAGGGCCCTGTTTGTATGAACCCTCTGTCCTGCTGAAGTTCAGTCCTTAGGATATGCCTTTGGGCTCCTCCACAGTAAGCTTTAATACAAATGTGCAGTTACAATGCTAAGCTAAACTCCTGCATGGGAGAGCTGGCACTGTGAGAGGTTCTGTCTGTCACAGCGTTACTGAGACACCCCAGGCAGCCACCCTGCCCTCACTTCTCCAAAACACCATTCATCACACACAAACCTTTTGCAGAAGATGCTATTATTGTAAACACAAAATTTTACCCTGTTTTTAGGATTCAGTGACACTGGCTGCTTTTTACTGCTCTGTTTCACATTGCATTGTAAAATAAAAACTTCCTAAGACGTTAATGTGAGCTGAGCACCTGCCTCATGTCTGTGTGCCCCAGCATTTAGAGTGGGACAGATGTCCCAGGAAAAGCTGAATTGCTATGTCAGAGTGTTGAGCCCTGCTGGCTTACCTTGTCTTCATGGCCTTTCAGCATTGAGCTTTTTTGAGCTCTTACACTTGTTGCATATTCATTTGCAGTAATTAAGAACCCCTTGAAATGGTGTACCTTTACAACAATAATGCATACAGTGTGTATGGCCAAAGTGCAAATAGCTTCAGAGGAGGTTAAATCACAATTTTTCCAATATTAATATTAATGAGGCTGACCATTTGCATTTGCAGTAAATCCTCTTGTAGCATCAATGTCCTTTGAGGATTTTTCTGCAGATAAATGAAGCGTTTCCCTCCTTCCCTCACTACATCTGCTAACAGTGTCACTCAGTGCAGCAATAGATCAACAGTTCCTGCTAATCTGTGAAAAGGCAGAGCTTAGAACAAGTGCTTTTTGACATAATTAAAGCTACACTGCCTACCACTATTCCTGGAAGAAGTACTAGCAGAGTTTCATTAGAACAAGTAAATACAAATAGAGTTCAGTCTGAACAGTTGTCTTTGTTACAAACAAAGCCCATTAGTTAGCAAGGAGAATTTGAAGCAGGGCTGAATTCACGCTGATCTCAAAGCCCTTCTCATATTTAATTTATGAACTGATGATTAATTCAGTGATTAGCTAATTCACTTGCAGTGATTAATTTAATTCATGTCTTCAGGCTAATGTTTAAGAAAGAAAAAAACCCTAGCTCTGATAGATGCACATCAATGTCCTTGTGATTAAAAAATGATAATATAATGCCCTGGAGAAAAAAGGAGAAAAGAAAGATCAAGTGAATCGGTAGCATGATCTGTTGTAAGTTCTTGCCTAAGCTGCAGCTGTAATTTTTAGCTGTGATGTTTAAATGTGTCAGTTACTCTAATGATCAATGGTTTGAAAGCTGAATCTAAGGATCCTTCACTGTAGCTTTCCACTGTGTATTTTGAGAATGGCGTTGCTTTAGAGCAGTCCTCCAGTTCTGCCTTTTTCTCACTGGTTTTGCCAGCTGCCTGCCCACTCCCCTCCCTTTCAGCAGCACCTTTCTCATGCCTCACCAAAGTCTTTGACGAGAGCGCTTTGTACTTCTTAAATCCAGGCTGCCTTTCTCTGTTTCCAGCAGGATTTAGCTCATCTTTTGATGCAACATGTGATGATGAGAATGATTTGGGGGATTTCTCTGTATTAGACAAACTGGTCTCTTTTGGGACAGCACTGCTTTTACAGTTTAGGCCATTGCTTGGTGATGGAGCTTGATAGCTTCTGAAATCACGCACAGGGCCCTCCTCTCCTGAGCCATCATTGCTGTGCCTCTCTGACTGAGCTGAAGAGCCTAGCTGGTATTTCTCTCTTCTCTCACGTTCATTCTTCTTTTCTGGACTACCAGTTTTATACGTTGGTTTTTCATCATGCGCTGGTGGCAAATGCTTCTTTTTGACTGTGGCATTATTTTCTTGAGACTTCACAGGCAAATTTGAGTGTGGGGACTGGCATATCCCAGAAGCTGAATCTTTGCTTTTATCTTTCACAGCATTTGCATCAGGCTTTGTAAAACTTTCGGATACACTTTCTGGTTTTTCTCTTTCTGGAATATTTTTCTCAGGCTTCGATAATTTACTTGAAGGAGGTAATGAATGGTTACCAGAAGCTTGGTATTTATCTTTCTCTTTTACAGCCTTTTCTTTAGGTGACCTGCTGTCCTCTCCTGCTGGTGTCTTTTGCTTCCTCTCTCTTGAAGCACTTTTTTCTTGAGGCTTCAGCACTTTGTTTGAAGAAGGCAGCGTCTCAGAATTTAGATCTTCATCCTTTTCTTTTACAGAATTAGTACCAGGCTTCCTAAAATCTGAAGAGTCTGATGTTTTTTGCTTTTGTTCTGCAGTATTTTTTTCTTGAGGCTTAACCAATATTTTTGGTGGTACTGATAGACACTTCCTGGACCTTGGAAGTTCATCTTTCTCTTTTGCAATATTTGTATAAGGTGTCAGAAAATCTTCAGATCTCATTTGCTCTTTGTCTCCTGGATTATTTTCTTCATGCATTTCTGATTTTCTTGGTGGAGGTAGCTGGTGCTTCCCAGAAAACTGCTGCTCAATATCTTCTTTTACTACCTCTGTTTCAGGTGGTCCAGTGTCTTCTGCTGCTGGTGTCTCTTGCTTCCTCTCTCCTGAAGAGCTTCTATCTTGACAATCTGGCACTTTGTTTGAAGAAGGTGACTGGAACTTCTCAGAGATATGTTTAGTCTCTTTTTTGTCTGGCTTAGTTTCAGGCTTTACAAGGCCACCTGGTGGCATCTGTTTCTGTGTCTCTAGAGAGGTATTGTCCTCATCAGCCATCTTATTGTCCTGACTTGTATGTCTTGGTGGCATTGAATAATTGTTGAAGTCTGACTTGACATTTTGTAGCCCTTCACTGTCATTTGTAAGTTTCATTGGCTCATCTGATGGGTCCAGATGTTTTTTCCTATTATTGCAATAGATGCTTTCATCTCCTGTCACATCCTCTTTGTGTTTCATAAAATCTCTTGGAGATGCTAGATTCTCCAAACTCTTTCCAGTGTTTTTCACTCCTTGAATGTTGGTATCATGCTCTGATGAAGGTAACTGGGATGTTTGAAGACTATGAGCATCATTTTCATTTGAAGAGTTATTATCATGGTCCACAGTATCATTTGGTGTGAATACTTGTTCCTGCTCACATTTATGCAAGACATTTCTCTCTTCTTTCTCCTCTATCTCCTCGCTATCAATTTCATGCTTCATGTCATCATCTGAGGAGAAGAGCTTATCCCTTGTTTGTGCAGGTATTTTATTTCTACTTTTTGCATTCTTCTTTTGGTCTGAGACCAATTCAATTGATGAAGGAATTGGGTTCTCTTCTAGCATACCACATTCTTGCTTTTTAGTATCATCTAATAATGGTGTTTGGCTCTTCTCCAAGGGTAATAGGGGATTTCCTGCTAGTGTGGTTTTATTTTCATGTTTTCCTGGCTTTGTGGTTGAATGTGAAAGACAGTTCTCAAATCTCTCACATGTATTTGTCTCTTTGTCTGTAGAGTTTTCATTTTCTGTTGCATCATCTGGGAAGAGTGCTTGGTTCTTAAAATCCCACATGGTTTTCTTCTCCTGCATTGTGTCATTCCCACCACTTGTCAACTCATCTGAAGGGGGGTCTGGATGCTTCTCACAGCCATGGCTGTCATGCTCATGTTCCACAGCACCAGCTCCCTGTCCCACCTGATCAAGAGGTGGAAGTGCAGGAGGATTTCTAAGAGTGTGATGGATACTTTGTCCTGCAATCCCACTCATTGATATTGGTGAAGGGGTTGACAAGGGTGACTGGCATGCCTCAGAGTCAGGCCAGGGCATCTCATCTGCTGTGTCCTCTTCATGCTGAATGACAGATTCAGATGGCTTGTGGCAGGTCTCCAGGTCAGTTAAGGAACTCCTTTGCAGGGCTTGATTTTTTGCATAATTCATTCCTTCATTTGATGAAGATAATTTGTCCTTCCCAAAATCTTCTTCTGAAATAAAGGAACTGTGCTTCACAAGGTCGCCTGGCAAAGGGCTTTGTGTCTTTTCCAAAGGAGAAGAGGTGTCCTCTTCTGCTGCAGCACCAGGCTTTGGCTCCAGGCTCTCGTTTGAGGAGAGTGTAGGTTTGTTCTGATTTGTGTCAGGAACTTGCATGTCCCCACTGGAAACATTAAAGTTATTTTGTGAGCTAAAATTCATTTGAGGTGGCTGAGGCTGCATGGTTTTTAATTCATTTTGCATTTGGCTTTTGGGTGTCTTATTTTCCTCCTCCTCTATATTTGGGACATCACTATCATTTTTGCTGGAAGTAGAAGACATTTTGTCTTCACTATGAAATGTTGCTTCTTTTTTGGCTTCCTTAAAACATTTGCCTCTTAAATCCAGTGCCCCTATTGGTGGCTTTGTGCCAGAAGCTGGTATTAGGACCGTTAGCTGTTGATCATTCATTGAGGGCTCAACTTCACAAGATGCTGAAAATTTTGGAGAGTAAAATGGCAGCATGTTTTCCAGTGCTTTCTGCTCTGGAACACATTTTTGGCCTGCAAAGAAAGGATCTTTTTCTGGCTCTGTGAGCTCTGTGTCATCTTCATCTGAACCATATACACACAGAGATATTTCAGGAATCTCTCCCAGTGTAGTATCCTGAGGACTTTGTTCATGGGATCCTTCAGCTGTGCCAGAGTCAGGTGAGTCAGAAGGTGGGCTCTCTTCCTTCACATTTTGCAGAGCATTGGTAATTCCCAATAGTGAAGATGTGTCAGGCCCAGCTGGAATGTTAGTCCTGTCACCATCTAGACCACATTCAGGTAAGGGGGGAATGCAGTCTGCAAGAGCTTTGTTTTCATGAGTAGTTGAAGAGTTATTTAGAACAGGATGAAAGTTAGGTCCCTGTTTCGTGGAATCCATTTTACCCTCAGCAGAGTCCTTTGCATCTGACACGGCCTCTGGTGCCACCAGTAACTCTTCTTCGTCCTCCCTGACCTGTGCTGCATTTCCCAGGGTTTTGTTCTCTCTGTGGTCTCTGTTGGATCCCTCCTTTTCCCTCAGCAGTGTGCCATGACCAAAAGGCTGCTTTGTGGCATTATTTTTCGACCAGCTCCAAGGATGGTTAATTTTGGTAGCCATGCTGAATCTGGGCACTGGAACCATGGAGCACACTAAATTTTGGGACTCTGGACTCTTGATACCTGTGGCTGTCATTGCTGCCATGCGCAGCACTCTGACCTCAGGTTTATGAATAGCTTTTCTGCTGGGGAAGTTTTTAGTCTTTCTCGCACCTTTGCGCAAGAGCGATGCTTTCACCTCTGCAGCTGAGCAGAGAGTGCTTTGTTCAAACTTCTCCTTCAGTTTGGACAAGACTGAATTCTTGTTGACTATTTTTGGCAAACTACTGTTTTCTCCCTTCTTTTTCCAGCTGGGAGACTCCCCCTTGGCTTCTTTTTCTTCAGCAGCTAAAAATTTCTTCAGTATGTTCTTCACTGTGTTTTTCCCAGTCACACTAGTCCACCTTGCCCTATCGCTGGGTGCTGTGTCTGCATCCTCGTCCACTGCTTTTCCATCTCCCTTCCTGTCTCTGCTTCTGTCCAGCTTGTTACCAGCCCTGCTCACCCACATCTTCTCTTTAATGACCAGTTTGCCGACTTCTCTTCTCTTCTTGGTGTACGGCTCGCGATTGGTGTTTAGAAACCTGGACCGCAAGAGCTGAAATCTGGTTGGATACTGAACCCTGACTGGATCTGGACATGGCTGGTTAGAGCTCACCTGGTTTTCTTTACCTTCTGCCCATTTTGTCCTCTTGTTGCTGATTTGCGAATCACCGGCTGCGAGCTCAGTGACATATTGCAGCAGGCTGCTGAGAACAGCAAAGGCTCCTTGCTCTGTTGCCATCCTATTGAGCTTCTTCTTCAGCACCAGAGGGTCTATAAGCATCTTATCATCTCCACAGAAGTGTGCGCTTTTGGTGCTGTGCAAGAGAAAACATAAAATGTTTTTTCAAGTTGTCAGCATTGTCACTACCTTCTTACTTTGCTTTAATGGCATGCTGCTACGCATGAAATGGAAAAAAACCCACTTAAATGTAGAACTTCTCAAGAGAGTTGATGTTAGTGGCCTGTTAAAAAGCATGCAAAGTGCTCAACAAGATTCATGAGTCATGGTGTAGCAGGAATGTCAGGACTTCACATCGTCCCACACAGCACTGTCAGCTCTTTCTTCTGTGTTTTGTGGGCAGTGGAAGCACTTAGGGAAGCAAGCAATGCTAGTCGGGGTCACTGCATCTCCTCTGTGCCACTAGTCCCTCATTTAGAATTACCATCTCCTAAAGTGAGGGCAACACTGAAGGTATGTTCCTTTCCTGCTAGGTAAAGTGTAGGTAAATATAAATATTATGAGATTGCAGCTAGCACGAAACCATGGTTCTGTCTCTGGTTTATAACCATTAAAACAAAATATCAAGGCTGAGGGGCCCAAATGTGCCACTGATGGTTTTTACTACTGGTATAGGTTAGAAGTCAGTAGATACCTCTCCAGAATTTAAAAAAAACATAACAGGGTTGCTGTTATTTGCTTTTTGATAGCATTCAAATCCCACATCAGGACTATGCTCTTAAATCTGCTTTGTGAAGGCTTTCACCACAACAACAACCCTGGCAATGTCCCTTCACTACAACCTCTTTTAATCTGGAGGAAGAGGGATGGTATGTTGGACCTTTGCTTGTTTGAAGAATCAGGCCCTTGGACAGCTGGGGATTTAGGCAATGCTTTAATTGGTGTGGATCAGTTACTAAATAAAATACTGAACTCAGGACAAAAGCTGGAGCTTGAAGTCAACAACAATAGATAGGTCTAGGAGGGAAAAATCAAGAGGTGTCAGCTTTCTGACACCATGAAAATCTGGAAGGTTACTTCACCGTGCAGTGAAATAGCTTCATGCACAGAATGCAGCCTGCATATCCCCAGGGGATTAATTTTTATGACCAGAAGTGGAATAAAAAAATTCTTTAAATTAAGTCCACACATAGAAAATGAAGAAAGGCTGCAAAGAGGGTCATCCTTTAGGGAGTGTCAAGATCGGAAAGTTTTGGAAGGCCCAGCTGTGCCCCAGCAACTGGCACACCATGGTGTCTGAAGGAAACTGGACCTAGCCCCCCACTACAATATTATGGAGGCTGTTTGCAAAGTGAAGGGCTGGTCCTTGTCCAGTTGGGTTGTGATATTTGGATTCCACTTGGCTGCATTTCAAGTGCACATATTGAAAATTACATCCCTCAGCTGCATTTGCCATCTTGAATGGGAGAAGGTCTATTTATAATGACTTTGTAGGTATTTTTAAAGGCCAATAAAAGAAAAAAGCCTGACAACTGGCCCATGTCTAATGTGACAAACAATATCTCGTAGGTTTTTATAGGGAATAAGCACATTTCAGCATAGCACAGGTGGTATCATCCACCCTTTCCCTTACCAAATTTACCCCAGCGAAAGAGACAAAGCTTCTATGTTACACCAAGAAGCCCATTTGTCCCAACCATGAGAATTTTCAAAATAAAGAAATAACCAAAATTCAGAGTATAAATGGCTAAAAATATCCAGGTTCATTCCCTCTCCTTGCAAGTCTGCTGATATTTTAATTGCAAGCTTACCATCCCTCTCCTCCCTAACGAGTGTCTGGTGTATTCAGAAAAACATGTGGGGCCATCGACCAATGTGCTTCAGGGTCATCTCTGATCTCTCAAAACAGCAGTGGAACCAGATGCCCTGCTTACCCCTCCCTTCTGGACTGCTTTGGTTGCTATAAATGGCCACAGCAAAATACAGACTAGTCTTGCTTTCAGCATAGCCAAACTACTCTTGATTGTGAAGGAAAGGAGATCAGACCCTCTCTGCTAGGAATATTCACAGTAATTAATCACATATGAGCTATGAAATTCAAACAACTTCGTTAAAATATACTATGAGTGAGCTCTATTCAGGGATTTTCTTTTCCATGTTAGAGTGTTATTATAGGATGCCATCTGAAATGTAGCATTTGTGGGAATACTGCATTGCCTTAAGTACCAAGACCTGTTGCATGGGTTGAGTGTTTGATCCATATTCACCAGCCAGCAGCAGAAAATGAGCAAACAGCTATGGCACCTATTTAGGGCATCTGCAGTTCTTCCAAGAAGACGTCACCTGCAAATGACCATCGTGACCATGTAAATCTGAAATGCATTCTGTGCCAGGGCAGTGGTACAATGACACTGAATTCTGAGACCACCACACAAAACGGAGGTAGTGGTGAGTCTGCTTTAACCTAGATTTTGGGAAACACCATGGTTTCCCCTCAAGGAAGGAGGCCTAAGTAAGAGACTTCTCATGTTTGGGAGCATGACCACCATTCTCAAAAGGCTAAGCCATCATCCCTAATATTTCCTTACTGTCTTTTCCCAAGCTGCATCCTGCTGCTCTTAAACTATGTCATCTATCAATGAAATATAGTCACCTCTGTATCAACTACAGACAGTCAATTCTAATCCCATCAGGAGTACCCAGACAGGTAGTCCCCATGCGTGGGGGAACCCCATGCCAGCAGAATTCACTTCCCAGCACTGTGAGCTATGCCATATGACAAGGCAGGTACTTGGGCTCCTCCCTGATCCTGCAAAATGGAGGATGTGCTTTATCTCCCTCACCCCTCTCTTCCCCTGGAGACGCTGGTTTCCACTCTTTTTAATGACTTTTAATGACTCTTTTTAATGTGCCTCAGTGTGCTGCTGGTTATGGAAGCTGGTTTATGCTGCTGATGGTTTTCAGTGTCTGGAGGGAAGACTGCTTGGACCTGTAGAGAAGGCAAGGCCACCTTCAAAAGTTTCCTGTCCTCTTGGCCTACAAATAATTAAGATGCATAAGACAGGCTGCTTAGTTACTTATTTATAGGTTCTTTGGGGACACTTATCACAGGCAGCATCAGAGTGGTAACAGCCTAATATGCTAATGGGCAGCAGTGCAACCCTATCCCGCTGGCCAGCCTGTCCCAGAGAAGCCTCTGCAGTGGATATTCCTGTGTCACAGGCAGAGGAGAGCTGAGGTGCCAAGGCCAAGGGACAGGAGCTGGCACTCTCTCCCAGACCTGCCCACTGCCTCCTGCACCAGTGCCCTCCAGCCTTTCTATTCAGTTAGGGGTCCACAGGCTACTGAGTAGCAGGGTGTGGTGGCATCCCATGGCATTTGCTAAGAGCATGCAGTTGTAGGATTTTCTGGTTTAGTGTCTCTGGCATGGAAAAGAGAGGGCCCTGTCTCCTGATCCTGAATTTCATGTTAAATATCTGACTACCCTTTTAGACACTCTGGCAGCCCAAAGAACTGGCTGTTTCAGGGACAGTGGCATGGGCAGAAGGAAACAGCACTATGGAGGCTTCATCAAAAAACAAGAAACAAATTGAAAAACACTGTCCTGCAAAAGCTGTCAGAGATCAATGAGATTGATCTGTCTTTCTGTTGGTAGGCTCTGGGGAAATGGCCATGAGCTGGAGTGTGCAAAGGGCTGCATCTCATGGCCTCCCTCATCCCTGGGCATCCCTACCTGTCTCTGTGCAGTGTTTGGTCCAACGACCTGCCCCTAGATAAGGAAGACAACCAGGAGCAGCTCTGTCCACTCAAAACAATGCACAGGCCTCTGTCCACTCAAAACAATGCACAGAGTGTGTTCAGTGAAATGATGGCCAAGGCACTGTTCACCCCAACAGCTGCAGAAATGGTGCTTTAGAGGGTCAGTCCTTTTTTTTTTCAAAGAGATTCTCTTACTGATCTCTGAAAAACAACTTGGTCCTGCTCAGGTTGGATAGAAGGTAAAGTGGAAAAATTATAAATCCCCTTAAAATTTGTCAGTTATTGTTTTTTTCCTAAAGGAGGAAGAAAAGCCAAAGTACTAGAAAAAGTCCTACCTTATGCAGAATATGTTCTTCTCTCTTCTCTATTGCTGAATTTATTACAGGAGTGCTAGAAGGATCCTAAACTAGAAGCAATTTTTTCAGAAAGTCTTGGTATTCTCTGGCACCAAAAGCTACTGACACAATTGCTGCCTTTGGTTTAACACATCTCCAAAGCAAACAATGAAGCACCTTGCGAAGCTGCAGAGAGAAAACATGCTACAACAACAGAGCCAGAGGTAAGGCATGGTGTGGAAACCTTCCCATATGGACATCGTCATGCAGGCTGCTATTCCCACTGACAGGCATCACCTGCTCCTGGGGCTGCCACACAACATCCCAGTGATGATTCCAGCAAGGGCTTACACGGAAAAAGGCGTAGGAAAGTACTCGTGTATTTTTAGCTATCTTTTTAAAACACAGTTCAGCAGCTGGAGAAAGACAGGAGAAACCAACACCACGTAGGCAATCACGCATGGTGGAAATTAGAAAGTATTACATAGACCTCATTTTCTGAACTTCTAAAGTAAAACAAGAGGTTAAATGTGGGAACAAATTTTGAGCTCACTTCTGCGTTATTTCACTGAGGATTCCATATTTGTGCCTGTGCTGCTCTTTGGGGGCGTTAGGATCTCCTTCATCAAAACTATTACTTGCTTTGTTTATGGTAGGCAACTTCTAACTCAATTGTAGTTTCCTGGTCTTCTTGAAAAATGAGAAAATAAAAGAAAAGGAAAAATGAAAAGAAGGGGGAAAAAGGGAAAGGCAAAGGGAAAGGAGAAGAAAAAAGGATGGAAAAAGGACAAGAAAAAGAAATTTAAAAATAAAAAAGAAAAAAACTTAGAAAAAAGAAAAAAGAAGAAAAAAAGAAATGTTGAAAAATAACTTGGTGAGGAAAGGTGAGATGAAGCCAGGCAAGGAAAGGAAAAAAAGACCAAAAGAAAAATGAAGGGGGAAATGAAGGGGGGAAAAATGAAGGGGGGGAAAATGAAGGGGGAAAAAAAGAAAAAGGTAAAGCAGTTGTAACTTTTCTTCTTGGGGTTTTCATGGTGCTCAGACTTGTGAAATGTATCACAGCCTAACTGTTGACCTATTACAACTGCTTGAAGACCTCAGCCAAAAATTCTGATACTGATACAGCAACATATAATCTGTTCAATCTAAAAATAAAGACTGATACTTAGAAAATAGTGCAAGATTAATTTATTTACAAATATTTCAGCCAGTTATATTTTAGAGAAACTTTTGTTCTGAAGACTGAAGAAGAATAAAAACATAATTCAGAAATTTTAGACATATTGATCAGAAATTCTAGACACACTGATGCTTTGCTTGTTCCTTGGAGGTATTTTTAGTGTTGGCTTTTCCTTTTCTGGAAGCTTCTAATGTAACAATACCTTACACCACAGTGCTGATACAGGGATCAGTGATTCATTAGAAGCTAATCCATGAGACATTAGGTTTACAAGTGTCACAGACACATTAGATTTGAGAACAAGGAGGGACACAGTGGTGAAAGGATTGTCAAATATACAGAGAATATCCCCGTGAGCGGGTACTACCATTAGTTTTGCAAGAAAGCATTAGTTCTGAAAATTAATTTCATATGTGTAATTACTGGAAACAGCTGTTTAAGAAGTGGTATTATAGCAAGTTAGACTGAAATCAGTCAAAAGATGTTTTATTTCTTTTTTGCCATTTGAGGTTTAAGCAGCACTCCTTATATTTAAAAATCCCTGCATCTGTAAAAAACCCACAAATATCACGTATATCTAATCAATCTAATGATTCTAATCAGTCTAATAACTCAGCTATCTTCACTTGCACTCAACGTACATAGAGCTCTTCAGACTAACTCAGGGCTACCTCCTTCACTATGAATGCCAGTCAGATATCTACAGGGTTTGATATAATCTTTAGAGAAAGAGAAAATGGCAGAAACTGCTTTACTTTTCCTCCATGGATAGCCGGTAAAGGTTCTCGCCCAAGAACTCGAGCCTCTCCCTTTGTTCCAGGTCCTGGTACAAGCCCTTGGGCACCTTGCTCAGGCCGTAGACCAGGCCGAACAGGCAGCCCGCAATGGAGCCCGTGGCCGCGCTCTCCCCTGCAGGGTCAAACACAATTGCAGTGCTCTCTTAGTGTCACCTTCACACACAGCCAAACACTGCCCTGCCTGGAGGAGGGAGCATTCCACACCGATGGAGGGAGTGTTCCACACGTATTCCAGCATATGGAGTGCAGTGGGGGTGTGCTGGGTCAGTCCTAAAGGCTAAGGATGCCTAAAGCAAGAGAGTGATGCCAAGGCAAGCACATGGAGGTGCCACTGTGGGGTGCACTCCTGGGCTGGGAGCTCACTTGGTTTGTTTGGGAAGATCTGCCCCAGCACAGCAGCTCTTGCAGGCAGCTAGCCATTGCTAAGAGCAAAGGAGGGAATAATAGTTCCAGGGGTGTCTACTGTACAACAAAGGTTCTGGACTGGAGAGTGTCTCTTCCTCTGCACAGCACAGTGCAGGCTCTAAAACACCCAGCCTTGCTGAGGAGCCCTGGTGCTCTGTGCATGCAGTGCCTGTGGGTTTGTGCCTGCCAGGGTCTGCAGTGGGGACTGTGGGCTCTCACCACGGTGTTGGGGCAGGTGAGAGACCCAGAGCCTCTGCAAAGGGCCCACCCCACAAAGGGAGGGAGTGGGTGATTCAGGCCTGGGGTCCTACCCCCCAGCTATGCTGGCCCTCCCAAAAGCCCAGCAAGATGCGTCTGCTAATGAGAAAGTTCCCTCTCACAAAGCTGTAGAAGTAGTTAATTGTGTACCTCCAAGTGCTGGGTTTTATTTGGCTAGCACTTGTTTGGGTGCTGTATTATTTTTCTCCCTAACTTGGTTTCATTACATGCAGCTAAAAGGTTGTTTGGCCAAAGGCGCCCATGTTCTGTCAGCATCTGTCAGCTCTTTAGAAAGCTGTACTGCACTTACTCCTCATGCACCTCTGGTGGAACCATGAATGTAGACGGAGCAGCATTTGAAAAGTGTTGTAAATGGCTTGTGTGGCAGCTGCTGCCAGAAGAATGGAGTTTAGAGGCTAAAACCAGAGGTGACAATGTCACAGACAGCATGGCAGGTTGGCCAACAGAGGCAGCTGACAGCCAGGGGGGCTCTATCCCGGCCCTGGCAAGGGAGCAGGGGTGGGAAGGACAGGGATCCTCACCTCCGTGGAACATGGAGCGGTTGCAGAGCTCTGTCCAGTCCCCCCCACAGCCCATCAGGGCGTCGTAGGCGATCATGGGGGCGTCGTGGCCTCGTCGTCCCCCCCGGCCTTCGGAGCTCCAGCGCCGGTAGGTCTGTGGAGACACAGCTCTGTCAGGGCAGGGCACTGGAGCTGCAGGCCTGAGGCATGGCCATGCCAGGCTGGCATCTCCCCTGCTGGGTGGAAATGGCTCCTGGGGCTGGGAAAGGGCAGCAGGGGCTGTGCTGTGGCTCCTCTGGTGCGGTGTGGGATGAGCCACAGTGGCAGCTCCAGCAGTCCTGGTGATGCCTGAGATGCCAGTATAAACCTGCACTCCAGCTTAAGGCACCGGGCCAAGAGGCTGGTTTAAGCAAGCCAGAAATGCCAAAAAGTAGATCAAGACATATTTCAAGTTCACATCCTAGAAATTCTTTGTCATATAAAAAAATTACAGTTGGTAAGGTCATACTTCATCAGTCCTCTTACTGCCTTTGGGAATATTCTCAACTCCTCTTGTCACATGTTTGCACATGTTTCAATTAGCCAAATTTTCACGGGGGGTGAAAATGTTCTGGTCCAGTAATTTCTTTAGGGCCTTAGTTTCAGACTATGTAATTTAAGCCCCTTTTTCTTGCCAAGCTGTGGAGGACAGAATGTAAGAAAATAAAGATAGTGCAGAAGGTAGTCTCACCCCTGAGGAGTTGCAGCTGTACTAATCACCAAAGATTAGGAACAGGCCTGCCCTTAATAGGCCACAGCTGTGTCCAATAAGAAGAGAGTGCTACAAAAGAGTGGGTTAGGTGGGTGAGGAGAGAGATGGAGTTTGTTGGTTGTGCTGTGAGGAGATGCCCATGAGAAATCACTGAGAAGGTATGGGAACTTTTGCACTAAGATGACAATGCCAAGCCTTTTCTCTCCTCTTCTAAAAGCAGTTGTTGAACAAAAGGGAAAATAATTTGAAAATGTAAGAAACAGTTCTTCCCCAGGAGAAGGAGGTAGAAGAAAACTTCAAAACCAGTTTAGAGATTTGCAAAGGAGAATTGGATTTTCTCTAGAGCAGGTACCTCTAGCCCCAAATCCCAAAATTATCTCAACCCAAATTTATAGTTAAAAAATGTTGTCCTATTAAGAAATGGGCATCTTTATTTCCTGAAGTTTAATTTGCATCATGGCAAGTTACTGGTTGTCTGGCTCTTGGCTTCTGCATCATGTATGAAAGGTTGGTGTTTCTCTCTATTCACTTTCACCTGACCTATTTCATACTTGGTTGAGATTTATCTATGCATACATCAAACATGGCAGAGTTGGACTGCAGCTTTACTCTATGTTTCTTTCCTTTTTTTTTTTTTCTTTTTGGACAATTTAGAGAGATTATTTATGCCTTTATGCCATCCTCTGCCCTGTGCAAATTTCCAGCCCAATTGCTGCAGTTTGGATGCTGGTGGAGCAGCACAGACAGACTTTCAATGCTACCAAAGGCAGGAGGGCTCAGTATGGAGGGGCTATTCTAGGTGTGCAGCCAGGCTGCTCAAGTGTCACCCCAGTTATTCCTGATCATCCCTGACACTCTGCACACATCTGATGTCATTTCACCTTGCTGGAACAGCTTTATACTGCAGATAGCTGTCCTGGGATTGAACCTGGCAGGACTTAACTGCCCCAAGGCAGCACTTCCCAAACTGTTTCCTTCTCCTTTCAGCTCCAGCCCTGTGCTGTGCTGTGGCACCAGCCCAGCTTCCCTTGGGTGGGCCAGCAAGGACCTAGGGCTTGGATATGGTGTTAGCATGCACCCTCCTGCTGAAGGCACTGAGCTGCTGCCAAGCCCAGGAGGTAATTCACATCTCCCCTCCTTGCTGTCAACCCCTGCCACCAGTAATTACAGCTGCCTCTGAATTCCCCACCCTTCAGGAGCTGACCTCCTGCTGGCTAGCACTCCTTTTCCATTGTTTTTTTTCCCCTCCTTTCTGGGAGTTCTTTCTCACTGCTGGTTTAAGCAATTCCATCTTAAGGAAACAAGGTCCTTATATACTAATTGTCCTGGATGACTTTGGTTTTGTTCCTCCCTTGTTTTTTGGCCTGTTGTGTCCATTACAAGAAAGTGAGTCAGGCCAGTATTTTGTTTGCAGAACCAGGGCTGACCCCATGTGTTGAGCAATGTCTGCCCATCCACTGTGTATCTAACATCTTCCAAAGGCGCATCACTGAAAAATTATATATACCAGGTAATAGGGAATGTGCCCTTTGCTGCTAAACATTTCAGGCTGTGATTTCTTTTTGGGAGGGAAATTGCCTTTGAAACATGCTTGGATCAATCCAAACCACATTTGAGGGCTTCACTTTCACATACAGCTGGCAGAAACGTGCACCTGGCCAAGCAGAAACCTGCATGTGGTGATCTGTGGGCAAGGGTTGTGCCAGACACTGGTGCTCTGCATGTGGAAACACAACTGGCTGTATTCCCAAACACAAGGGAACAGCTAGTCTGGAGGGAAGGCAAAGGGAGGGCACTCCTGGGAAAAAGGCAGGCAGAACAGTTACCTTCTCCTCATCTCTTCTTTCCATAGCTGCTAGCACACTAATAAAGTGTCTTGACTTCTGCCAGGCTATGATCTCTGTCTGATGGGGGAGTTTGAGGATCAAGCACCATTTTTCCTTTTTTGTTTATCAAAATACATAGATCAGTAGGCTAAAATAGTTGGGCTAGGGTAACAAAGGTAAATTTTGCTTCTGCATTAGAAGTTCATACAGTTCCCTCTTGAAATGATCATGGGAAATTACTGTTTGTTTTAATCTCTCCTAAAGCTCTGTGGAGACTTCTGTAGTACTGGAAGGAATATAAAACTAGTAGCAAATTCATGGCACTGAATTAGTAAAATAAACCTGGAAAGGAATATTCTTTATATTTAGAGTGAGCAATTTCTTTTTATCAATCGTACTTCCATAGGCACCTTTCACTGCACAGATAATCACCTAAAAATACACAAAGTGGCTCGTAAGCATAGAACTATATTTACATAATCTGAAAAAAAAGGGATTGATTTATGGCAAAAGGTGTCAAGAACCACATACTTATTGCTTAGCTGCTAAGTGGAGAGCTTTGGGGGGTGCCAGCCCATATCAGATAGCTGTAAACAGCAGGGAAGAAGACACATTATTTCTCTCGAGTTAAGAAGATATAGCCAGCAAAGAAAAGATCATGTACATTATAAAATAGTATCTCATGGAATGTGGTGAAACACCATCTCTCAAGACATTTAAAACTAGCTTGGCACAGCCCAGGTTGGCAGGGAATCAATCACTTGGGATGTCTGTCTTCTGCTTGAAGGACCAAAAAATCATAGACTGGTTTGGATTGGAAAAGACCTTTGAATACACTGTGTTCCAATCCCCTGCCGTGAGCAGGGATACCCTCCACTAAACATGACCAAATCCAGCTTCTAATACCTGAGGGTATTTTTGTCAGACTCTGGCCACAGCTCCATTAGGCTTTAATGAGAGCTCCAGTTTGCCTTTTCCACCCTCAGATAGCCATGGCCCATATTTTGTACCTGCTCAGGTACCAGACCATTAAGCCTGCCTCTCTGCACTGTTTTCTCCCAGTGCAGCAAACCCATGACTGGTGGTAACCTGTTTTTTTTAAGCTAACATGTACTGGAGTCCAGGATGAGAGTTGTTTTTTCTTTCTTAAAATTAAAAAAAAAAAATTATAAAAAACCCAAATTCCTGACTACACTGTCATCAGTTGGAAAGGTCTCTTTGAAAATACCTCTGTTGGCTCAGAGCCATCCAAAGAACTTTTGGAAGTTGCAGTTACCTTTTCTCTCTCCTCTGCATCATAGTTGGCTGGAAAGACAGGTTGATTCTGATTTTCCTCATTGATTTCTCTCTCCTCCAAATAAAACTGCCACTTGGCTTCAAAGTAAAACCAGTGCTCTTGATATTCTGAAGGCAAAAGAAATTAATGATGTAGTATTTCATTTCAAGAACATTTTCAGTTCTACTTTAACATATTTTAAGAATAGTGACAGTTCTGACTGACACGAAACCCCAGGTATTTTACAGTAATATACTGCATATATACTAAGTATGTATGGAGTGGGACTTCTAATTGAAAACAGAGGATGCAATGAAGAAAATACTTTCAGAATTTTGTGCTATTTTAATGTCATTTAATATATATCAAGATGAAATTTTACAAGAATTTACTGAAGAGTACTCCAAGGAGAAGATAAGAGTCAACAAAAAGAAAATAATCAATTCTTTGTCAGTTTTTATTCCTTTACTATGATTAAAGAATATCTAAAAATGCTTCCACATCCTAAATACAATTTGCCACCTACCTCAGTTATCAATTTTTATTTGCATAAATTCTCCAGTATTTCTGTTCTATTTTCATCGTGTTTATTGTGTGATCATTCAGGAAAAAACAGATAGGAAAGTCCAAAATTCTCATTTGCATACTTTATAATACCTATCAAATGTAGCGAAGGGATGAATAATGCATATATCTGCTACATTAAAGCCTTTTTTAATAATCATATGTTTTTCTCCTCTTTTTCTGTCACTTTGGGGAGTGATCTCTAATCATGCTTAATGTTCTCCATGTAAATAAACTTATTAAATTTAGTGTATTTTTTAGGCAATGCTCTGGTTCACCCTTTATAAAAGGCTTACAAAGGCAGCTAACTCAGCCACACTGGATTGTTAAGCACATACACATGCACCTGCCTGCAGAACTGAGGCCTGAGGGAAACCCTGCCTGGCAAGCTGAGGGGGGGTCAGGAATTAGAGAACAGTGAGGTGGCCTGGAGGGCTGAGTGTGCCAAGGCAAACTAGCAATCTGGGATGGGACTATGGGTGCAAAATAAAATTTAACATTCCCACTTTTTCCCTGTCTCTCTCCTGCTTGGCTGTTCAGTGGTGTGTGCTGTAAGGACTGAGAAGCACAACCAAACTATTCACTTGAAGGATGTAATCTGATATTGCTTCTTTTCACAGTGGTGACTCTCTTAGGCAATTAAGATCTTTAAGGGGCTTTTTTGTAAAAATCCAAGCTGCTTTGTAGGACTTGACACTTTTACAAAAGTTGTCAGCTGCCAGTGCCCCAGCCCCAGACAGTGATGAGCATTCAACCATGTGCCTGAGACACCTGGAAATGTCCAGCTGCCCTTTTTCTGAGTCTATGACCCAGCTTGGCCTCATTCCATTCACTAGAACCCTAAAAAGGGGAGGTGTTTACAAAAACAGAGTGAAAGGGCATTTACAGCCATCAGGCCAAGGAGAGCATCTAGATGTATTTATGGCATCTAGAGCAAAACAAATGTAAGCAAAGCAAATGTAAACTATCAACACCCAGTACAGCAGCTAGTTATAACAGTTTTTAGAAATGTGAGTGACCTGACCTCTTTCTTTTTTGTTGGCTTTTTGTTTGTTTCTGGGTGTTTTTCCCCTAATTCCCCCATAAAAATAAATAGAAATGCCTCAAAACTGAATGTTTTCTATGTAGCACCTTAACAAGAAAGGTGCTTGTTCCAGAGTTTCAGAAATAAAGGGATCAAGCAGGTGAAGGAGATTTCTGTTGGGTGGATCTGTAGCATGGTCAGAATCCCATGGCACTAACCCTAGCAAGGATCTGCACCATCCCTTGAGCCCAGCTGAGGTGATGGTCACATTCAGGTCCATGGAAGCATCTGGCCAGTAATTGCAACTGGATATCAGAGAGGGGCGTAGAGTTGAACTCTCTGTGGCGTGGATAACAAACTCTCTGTTTGATAAGATAGCTAAAATAGGATTTTCTAAAACTGGAGGACTCTGGCAGGATTTCTTTGCAGCACATCTCAGCAGCCAAGGAGCTTAACTTTAATGCAGGACACTTTTCCCATTACCAAAATAGGATGAAGCTCAACAATACGGGCACTGGCTGGAGGGCATGCCTCAGGAGCCCAGCACACATACTTCCACACGAGGGGTCCTGCTCCAGTGGAGTGACAGGGACCTGCTGCAAAGCCACTCAGAGAGAAGCTTGATCACATTAATCCTGCACCTGCTCCTCATGGGTCTCTGCTAAAAAAATCCTGGTGTGCAATGAGGCCCAGATGAAAATGCAGGGTCTTTCAGAAAGCCTTCCCAGGGCTCCTTTCAGATTTTAAAGTAGCAGCTTTTCTTCAGGGGTAAATTTTAATTTCTGAGTCTTCTTGAGTAGAGATTTCTGTAGAATTCAGTCTTTCTCAACAGCTGTCCCTTAATCTCTTACCTTGATGTTTCCATGTAATGATACTCATCTGTCCACAGCAGGTCTCACCATTACAAACATCATTTCCCGGCAAGGGGGGACTAAAGTACCTTTGCCCCAAAGACCACATGCATAGCAATAAAAAAGTAGTAGTATCAAGTTCAGGAGTTGGGTGACAGTTGTTTAAAACAAGGATACGACAGGTTGTATCTTAAATATTTATTCAGAAAAGCAACAAGTCAAATCTGAATTGTGGTCAAAAGCTAACTCCTGGTCAGGAGGCATCTGCAGGTGAAATTTTCCTGGCAGGATGAGGAGTGTCAGTGGTTTTCCTTAAGGAAGATGTTGAACTGCACTAATTGATGGAAAGCAGCTGAATAATTAATCTCAGCAGTCAGTTTGCCTAATGACCTGCTAAATATAATTTCCTTCCTCCCCCCTTCCCAGCAATCTCTGAAGATTCCCTAAAAATAAAACTGTGCAGTAGAGCATGGTCATTGCTGTTTTGCTTTGTATTTTTGCCACCAATACACCAGGCAACTAACTGGTGGTAGAAGAAGGTGGCACCACCTGTGAAGAGCTTACTTCTCTGAGCAGAGAAAGCAGGAGGACAGCCTCTGGAGGGAGGAGAGGGGGGAAAGCAGTAAGGTGTAAAGACTAGGGAGTGACATTTCTTCAGTGCCTTTCCAGCTAAAGATAGCTTTAAGAAAATAAACATTTGATCCAGACTCGGTACCTGCCATGTGACGAATGGTCTTCTTACAGTATTCTTCAGCCATGGGCACAACCTTCATCATCTCTCTGCCCCACTGAGCAAGGGGTTTCCCTTGTATTGCGTATGCCACAAAGAGAGCTGTGCAAAGGGACCCTAGGAAACCTGGAATTCATAAATAATGAGGATTACCAGTGTGCATCTGTGCTGGTACCATCCTTTTTGTCCTTGTTTTTCCTCTTACAATTGCCAGTGGAATGCCTTGTGGCTGTCAGGTAGATTAACAAATGTACACAACCCATCTCTGCCTGTTTGCAGCCTGACTTGTGGCATGTTGAGATTATTGTCTAATGAGTGCTGCCCCTTGGTTTGCGACTTATCTTACATGGAAGGGAGCTTCTGTTCTCAGTAGTGTAATGTGATAGAAATTGAGGTAGGGGTCAAAAATAAACATCATCTACCAATGGGATACTGAAAATCTTCTAATTGAAGTCACATGAAATAATTGACTTGTACAAAGTGATTCAATTACAGGCTATATCAACTTGTTTACAGCATCATCCAGTCAAAGAGTGGTGGTTGCTAGATCTAACACTATTTCTGGCTCATTTGACTCTAAGGAAACAAACTCATGTCCCCTTAGAAGAAAAAAGAAATTTTCCAAGAAAGACATGCTGGTCTTCTACTTTGGTTACAAATATTTCAACATTTTAAATATTACAAATATTATAACTGTTGATGGGCACTCAACACTTCCATGACACCAGAAACAGTCAGCTCATTTCTTGTATTTGCTTGTCCTCTTGGCATTCTGGCAAGGGCAAAAAACCAACCTGGTGCAGTGTGCAAAAGAAGCTGAAGAAAACCAGTCAGTCATCTAAATAAATCCTAGCTGAGCAAAATTTGATGCAGGTGCTTCTCTCGGTGCATGGGTCCAAAAGTGTTCACTCATGCATAGAGGTAATCATAAATTTTGTGTGTTTTGCTGAAGGTAAAACAAAATTATCTTAGGAGGTGACAAGCCCAGATGAGGTGATTACTAATTCCCTCTGCCACAAGACTTGCAATGCTGGGTCAGGCCCAAGGCACATCCAACTTGAGTCCCATAGATGTTCTCATAAAGAATAACAGCCCGTGTAGACCCAGCCCAAAGGGTCTCACAGGTAGACAGCATCTAGCCCAGATGCCACAAAGATCTGAAGATCTTTGAGGGCCACATTTACTGTGAAGGTGGCAGCAGAGGGTTTAGAGTGTAAACCAAAGGGCTAGCAGGGGGCAGTGACAGCTCGCTCAGAGGGTGGCAGAGGCTGGGGTGTGCCCTGAAGGTGTCCAGGGGCTGGCAGTCTCCTCCTGCCCCCTCCCCAGGCTGCACACCCCCTGTTGCTGTCACCCTGCTCATGGCAGCCCTCACACAGCCTGCTGCTCCTCTCTGGGGAAGAAGGCACACCTGCCCAGGGGGTCTGCCTCTGTAGGACAGGGGGAACCCCAGAGTGAAGTGGTTTGGTTTCTCCATTCCCCTGAGCAACCAGGCTAGTTTTAGGGGCCATTCTAATTACACAGCTTGTTTGATTTTGACAAGACAGCCTCTTTGCCTGGTCTCCTTTGACCCCAGGCATACCCATGGACTTTGCAGCTGCCTGTAGCAGCAAGGTCTGAGGCTTCATTGTGCATAACATGGGCAAGTATTTCCTTTGTCTTCATGTTTCAGCCCCAACTGACACATTGGTTGGGTTTTCTGAATCTGAGTTATGAGGATAATAATTGGCATTTCCCTGACACGTTTCAGGATGGCAGTGAAGTGCATGTGGCCCTTCCACCCCTCTCCTTTCTGTCTTCCTGCTGTACTACTTGTTTCTTTTGCCAGCTGAAAACTCTTTCTGCATGTAATTTCTCATTGTATGGAAGGTGTCTGACAATGCTGACGTTTTCTGGGTCTCATAAGCCCTTTCTGATGTGATGGACACAGACTACAAGTAGTCTTATGGCTGCTAATTCACCACAGACTTTACATGCCAGCCTAATTTTCTGCTTTGTTTTGAATGATTTTCCTTAATTTTATGGCATCCTGATGTCTTTTCTGACTGCTTCATAGCACTGAGTGTGTTGAACATGTCATCATTCATTATGGTTTTATTTATTGTTGTTTAAAACAGACAAAATGAATACATGTTTACATTGCATAAAATTATCAAAATGACAGACCTGAATATTAAAAACAACATTAAATCTGCTTATTTAGGCTTTGTTTAGAAAATGTTCCAGATTGTATCCTAAAATATGTGGAGTTTTTTTGGCTTACTACCTTTACCTACAGTGATTGGATATGACAAAACCTGCCAAGAGAAAAATGTTGTTATCCCCTGAACCATAAATTTGCATGATAACAGTGAGTCATCTAGATATTCATGAATCCTAAAATTTGATCAGGGCAGCTAACATGAATATGCTTTGGACAAGGCAGATTATGTATGCATATTGGGATTTTAGTAGAGAAAACAACTCTGCTTGAGGATGCTGTCACCATAATATACAAGCAAATATATAAGCCTATATAAGTAATATACACATGTATGTATCAACCAAGCAAAGTTCAAACTGAGGCCTTGAAACCTGCAAAGGGGAAGTGGGTTAACCAGGGGAGTTCACAGGAGCCATGTTAGTCCCTGCAGAAGAGCAGAGCTGCCTTAGGGGATGTCAGAGTGCAGGCATTACCTGTGGGATGGTTGTGAGTCATTCGTCCACACTCAATGCTCACTTCAATGAGTGACTCCAGCCTTTCTGGCTTCCAGTATCGCATCCCTAAACACATGGCTTTTGTGGAGGCTCCAAATCCAGAACCTAGAGCAAAAGGATAACACCATGCATTTAAAAGGAGACTGATCTCACACAATTATGTTGATAAAATGTGAGACAAGCACACTTAATTAATTCAGCTCATGTGTGGGAAGGGAACTCCTCCGGGAATGGGAAATTACCATGCAAAATGAGTTACAAGTTTGGAAAATTTCTTGTGAGGAATTTTGCTCCTACATAGTCATTCTGGTTTTACAGGAATATTCCAGTATAATCAAGTGCTGTAAAGACCACTGTGGGCTCAGAAAGCCGTGTGCTCTTTTGTTCACAGGACTTGTTTGACTCATCCCATCTTCACTCATTTTTGGCTGACTCTCCTGTTTTGCTTGCTCAGCGTACCCACACCAGAAACAGAACTTTGAGAAACAGATACATTTCCACACACCCTTATTTTATAGTTGTAAACACACAATTAAAACACTTTATATGAGCTTCACAGTTCACCTTTCAATTTTAATGCATATTTCATCCTGGAGAGCCTCACCAGTTTCTGCTACATACAAAAATAATGTGTCCAAAAGAAACTAAAGGCTACTGAGCCAAATCCTACAAAGTTAGGCAATGTCAGAACTGAAGTTTCCCATGTAACCTCAAATTAGTGCTTGTTGTGTGACAGCCTACACTTACCAAGCTTAGTCTTGGGAACCTCCACCCCCGTGTAGCACAGAATTTGTTTATTGAAGAGCTAATTCAGAATTTCTTTTAATCCTTAGCACTGAATGTGTGATCCCAGGTGTTCGACTTTTAAACACTTCATTGAATGGAGTTAAACTTCCTAATGAGTTTCTCTGCAGTACTTATCACAGTAATTTTAGGATCCCAGAGAAGTTTAATGAGCTTATCTTCACCAGGCACCAGTGAGGTGATTATCTCCTCTTTGCAGCTGGTGAGCCAATGCCCAAAAAAGCATTAACTCATTGCAGGCAACCACCCTGAGATGGATAGGCTTCTATTTTTCAAGGTACTTGGCATTTTTCAGCACTGTCTTTGCTCAATCACACTTCCCAGTGACCTTGGGAATAGCTGGGAGCAATCAGCATTTCTCTTCTAGGTTCCTGGAAGATAAGGGGGATATTTATGCCAGCTAATTTTAGCTTATGTGAACCTGCATTAGGAGCCCAATCTCCTTGTCCTTCCCAGGCAGGCAGCATGGAGAAAGGCAGTATGTCCATTTGTGTGTATGATGGCATAGCAGGAGCAGCTCGGGGGCCAGAGTGAATTGAAGCAGGAGATGCCAAGGAGCCAGGGTCACAGCTTTCAGTCACTTATCTGCAAAAGGGCCCTCAGCTGCTCCACTGGGCTTTGTCTGCTGCGACAGCAAAGCACCAGGGGCTCTTTTGGAACACCTCTTGCCATCAAGTCTCATGCCAAGTGGCTCCAGCTCCAACGTCCTAAGAGTATGAGTGTGATCCAAGTGGAGTAGTGGGGGTGGCAGTGAGATCTACTTCAAACCAAGCTGAAGCCTGAGCCAAACTAACATAAACCACCTACTGGCATTTCCAGGTGCAATATCTGAATTTCCCTCTTGGGAAAAAAGTTCTTCCTCTTCCCTAGAGCAGCTCTCCAGGAGCAGATAAAACTGTCTGCCTAGCCCACAGATCACATGGAAACCACAAGGAAGAGTCAGGAAGGAAATCCAGTCTTCCAGGGCACCACTCAACTGGGAGAAATATCTCCTGCTTGCAAGACCAAACTCTTCATTAAATCATCTGCCGCCACAGAGTAGCAGATGAGAGCGTTCACTGTGCAGACCTGGTTTCTCCAATGGACACAGTCCATGCTGGTTTTCCAAGAGGGGAGGCTCTTGCACTGCACAAAGCTGCTAATAAATAACATCTCTCAGTATACTGAAGTGGAAGATGTACTACTGTAATCTGACTGCTGGTCTGAAGGAGCTTGTCTTTGCCACTTCATTGCCTTCCTACAGTCTGGGAAGTTCCATTAAAACCTTCGGCAGAATTAGACAAGTAAACTTGGTAACAAAAAAATTCCATCACATGGAGTAGCATTAAACCCAGACAGAGCTTCAGGGGATGAAATCCCATGTCTCACATCTACCATTTGAACTAAGGACACAAGCCACAGTAAGACAAGTCCAAGCAACAGGGGTGACACATGTGACAATGTAAAGGACTGTCCTCCATTATCAGACCAAAGGTCAAGCCAGCTCATCATGTCTGACAGTGAAGAGGATACTCCAGAAAGAGTGAAAGTCACATTATCTCCTTGTACTAACTAAGCTGCTGACAATTTGTCTCCCTGATCCAGGAGGCAGCTGGTTATTCATCTTTCTGCTTAAAAACCCTTGAAGGATTTCCCCTGAGTGAATTTGCCCAGCTCATTTTCGAACTCACATGAACTGTAGCATTTGCAAATTGGCATTGGAAAATAGTTATGCAGCTTATGTAGGTGTTGTGTGAAGTCCTTTTTTTTTTTGTCTTGCTTTGAGCTCATGACCTCCAAGTTTCATTAGAAGTCCCTAGTTGCTGTCCTGGAGGAGACAGTGAATTTTTGCTGTACCTATCCATGTTTCCCAGTTATTTCCCTTTTCATTCATGCACTACATTATTCTTTTTTAGTATGTCATACCTCAGTGTGATTTTCTTCACTCAACACCTGTAGAATAACAAAGATTAGGGGTAATGGATGCTAAGCCCTGAAGAGGATATGCCTTTTGTGACTACAGATCATTCTGCATGAAAACTTAGAGCCCAGCATCTTTATCTCCTGTGCATCTGCAGCTTAATCTTCTCTTCAACTTTCCCCTTACTTTCCTCATTTTTCCTCACACTTTTCCCTCATGCTCCTCTGCCAATACCACCTGCAAAAAGTTCTCAAATGTTTCTAGGAGGCCCAGAAGTTGCTTCCACAGCTGTAAATAAAGACCTGCTTGGATGCTGCAGGATTTCAGCCTGAAATGCACATGATTCAGGTAGAGCCCAGCTATTTGACCCACCATTTGACTGGCCTCTTGCAGTCACTCCAAAAACAAATATCCGCCTCAGGGGGTACTACCTTATTTAAATTTTGGTTCCAGTTCTATAACATCAGTGATTCTCTTCTGAAGAATTTGAAGCTTTGGCACTGGGTCAAAACATTCTTACTGTGTCTCAGAAACAGCAGACTCACCTGCATCAAAACTTTAAACAAATACTGACAGACAAACAGAGGTAAACACTTAATGGAGAGAATTTTAGCCTTGTGCTTATCATGTTGTAAATTGTAAACAAGCTCTTAAAATGGAAGGTGTTAGACAATCTTGGGCAGGTTTCTGGTGGTCACAGGAATCTCATCAGCCTCTAACATAACCCAGGTATCTCCGTAGTGAGTGTGGCAACAAGCATGACATGAGGTGGCAGAGACACATAGGGCAATTTGATTTAGGGATTCAGTGTACTGACTAAACCCACAAGAATTTGAGCAGAGAAGCATCCATAAGCAATGCAAAATTACCTAAGATAAGCCCATGAATGCTGGCACATGAATTTTTGCTGGAAGCAAGATAGAATGCCCACAGCAAATCAGCCTTTTGGTTCCAGCCCATCCAAAATATAGTCTGACTGCTAGGCATTCAATCCCAGGCATTCAATGCCTGTGACATGTTTTTGCCTCAAGAATTTTGTGCAAATTCAATTAAAAGTTAATTATGTCCATAGCACTGTTGGACCGCATAGAAGACAGAACATCTGCACTTCAGGTTCTTCTGCTCTCAGGGTGAAAAAAAGGCTTCCTGAAATGTTCTGAATGCTTATTTGTCAGAACAGATGGAGAAGGTGGCTTTTAGCTGCCATATCTCAACGAAGGAATTAATTTTAGATTCTTCTAGCCCAGAGTATCCCCAAAGCAGATAGTCCATGGAAAGCTGAGGAGGAGGAAAGCTGAAAGAAGAGTGGTGGCTCCAATACTGCAGTGAGACAGGCAACAGCCATACTCAACTGTTTGTTGAACAATGTTAAGACCTACTTGGGGCCAACAGCAGCTCCCACAATTATTTTCCCCAAATTTTATCCACTGTCAGTCACAAAACACACGACAACTGCCAAAGGGGCACTTTCTCAGATCTGGCTGGCTGATAGCAGAGTGGGAAGAGTAGACCCTTTTCACTCCCAGCAGCTGTTGAGAGGAGCAGGGGACAAGTGAGAGATACCTTTTTGTCAGAGAAAACTGGCTGCAGAGACCCAGAAATAGCCATGGCATTGTGCCACCAGGTCTTTGCCATGGTGTTGCATCAATATGCAGTTCTGTGGAGGCTGTGTGCTCTGCAGTGGCTGAGTGTCACACCATGGACACAGCCACCATGGGTGTGAGCTGACACAGTTTTTGGCTGTCTGGGTTCCCCATCTCTGATAATGGGGTGTCTTTACAGGATGAATTGCACTGTGTGTATATGTGTATACACAGGGCTGAGTGCACGTTATTTAACTTGAAGTAGAAATTTTATTCATTGTAGAAGTAAATGATCATAAAGGGAAAGAAAGATATGGACAGGCATAGGTAAACCAGGGTAGGAATATTAGGGACTATCAATAAAACAATTATCGTTGTTAGCAGGGCATCCAAATGGAGAAAAGTCTCTGCTTTCCCTCCAGTGAACGTGTTGGTGCTTAGAGTAATTTATAGGCTTGGCATATTGTTTCAGATCTGGTTTCACTGAAAAGATCCAAGTCTACAAATGTTTAAAGGAAAAATGGCAGAAAATATTTCTTAAAATAACCATTAAACTCAAGGACAAAGATCTGGACCCTGAGGCACAGAGCCAAGGACAAAGTCTCTTTAAATAGATGTTAAAGAGGGAAGGGTTTGCTTACAAGAGGACACAGTGACCTACAGAAGGAATTCTTGGCAGATCTCTTGTCATCCTCAGGCGAGCATGGAAACGTTTCAGGGGTAGTGGCCTTTGATGTCAGGGGGAAAGGAAACAATTTCCATATAGCCACAAACACAGAGAGCGTGCACTATTCCAGCCAGGCCCTCTACAAGGACAGTGGTACCATACCCTTTTCATTGAAGGGTGTGTGCCAGGCCAGGAGGTGGTTGTCTGGCTTTAGCTCCCTGCAGCCTTCGATGGTGGCAGGGTCCGGCCGCCTGCCCGAGAGCTTCTCCACAGCATCCACGTAGCGCTTCACCAGCTCCCGGTACAGGTCTTCCAAACACCAGTAATCTGCCCAGAGGAGGGAAGAGAAGGTTCTTGTGTGAAGGCAGAGGAGCAAACAGACATGTAAGCAAGCTTACTGTGCATTTGAGAAATATTCCTGTTTCCACTTCCAATATACTGAGTCATGTTTCTGGTGCCACTGTCACATTTTTACACAACATGACAGCGGGCTGGAGGGAGAATGGTCTTGACTCTCTGCTCTCATCTTTCTCTCCTTTCCTTTCCATGTTTAATTCTTTCACTGGCATGGTGAAGCACTCTGTTAATCAGCAGTAGCTGCTGAGAGCCTTTATTTAAGCTCTGTGGTGTGAAGCCATTACAGAGCTGATCAACTGTCAGGTGACAGCGTGGCTGCCATGGGGTCTGGGTAAAGCCAGCTGTGCCTGGCTCAGCCCCTGCCCCTACAGATGTGAATCCGACTTAAAAATTAAAACCTTTTTTTTTTTTAATTACCACATTACAGAATCACTTTAAGATATACATATGACTAGATAAAAAAACAAAGTGCAACTTCCTTTTTTAAATCTCTAAGTTATATGTATTTTGTGTAAAATTTGTAGGTCTTTCAGGGCTCTGCAGGGCTCCAAATATCTTATAATATCATGAACAGTGAGGTTTTTAAAAAAATACTATAAAAATCAGTAAGAGTAGTAAATCCCAACTGCCTGAAAGTGGTTTCCATCACATAAATTTCTCTCTGTAATAAGTTCACTAACAACATCAGTTTATAGATTATATTTACAAAGTCCTACAGTCTTGCCTAAGGAGGAACCTTCCTTCTGTTAAACACTGACTGTTCCTTCAGTATTGCTGCTTCTCTCAGCTGATGTTGTCTGTTGTTGGTCTTGAATCCTGCCCTTGACTCATGCCAAGGAAAACCTTCCACTGGCATCTATTACAGCTGTGCCATTAGTGGGAACAGAGGCCAAAGGAATTTATCCACTTATATATATTTCTGCATACTTAGAGAAACCCCATTTAATACTTGGTTAGTTGCACAGCTTGAATGACACAGCAGGGGAAGTTCTAAAAATATCTTCATTTTGACAGAGATGGTGAATTCTGGAAATCCACAATTTAACTTAGGAGAAAGTTTGGAGTCCCAGAAGCAAGAGGCATTCTGAAGTACGTTTTGGAGGCAGGCAGCAAAGAAGATGAAGGGTAGAACAAAGATTCCTCTTCTTTCACATGAAATAATACCCTACCAGTTACACTGGCCATCCCACATAAGATCCCTGAAGAAACAAGACACTTTCAAGCTGCCAGCTCTTTCCAGATTTAGGAGTCAGGTGTCACAGTATATCCAGATGGGAGGCAGGAGCAGAGTTTACTGCCTGGCAGTAACTCCTGCAGAAACCTTGTCCCCAGAGCACAGAGTCCCTGTGGTCCAGCACATCCAGGCTGTTCAAGCCCACCATGGCTCCCTATGCCTGGAGCCAGATTGCTGTCTCAGCCATCAATAGGACAGGTTCTTTCTTTAGAAATCAACTCTTTTTTTTTTTTTTTTTTTTAACCCATGTGTAAGCAAGAGAGGAAAACCTCAATGCTTTTGTTGTTACAGAGGTAGTTTCCCTAAGTTTGATGATGCTGTCCATGTTCCTCCCTTATAGGACAGACTCCTCCTGGGAGCAGATGTTGTATCTGTCTTTCATTGTCAGATCAGCCTTTTAGTCAGGGCACAGGGTGGATTTGGGGAGCAGCAGCTCAGTCTGCAGCAGTGCCCCCAGCCCAGGCTGCTTGTGGCCATTCCTCTCCTGGGCTGTTCTCCTGGGATGTTCTCTGTGCAGCTGCCAAAGCACTGGCCAAAATCCCTTCCCCAGGTGAGAACTGCCTTTGTCTCTAACACAAGCCTGCCCCTTGGCTGCTGCCTCAGCTCAGGCTGGGAGCTCTCTGAGGGCAGTGCCCTGACAATGACAGCAGGACTTCATGGCTTTGAGCTGTGGGCAAATTTGGCCCAGCCTACAAATATCCTGCAACTGCAGGTGAGTGTCTGGGGAATGCTGTGGCCAGCAGGCAGCCAGGAGGCAAACAGGATGTGCAGGGAGGAGGGCAGGGAACGACAGAGATATTTGTATTGCTTATTTCCCTGCCTTTTTTTTTTTTTTTTTTTATCTGTAGGGGCAGGTCCCTGGGGCTGGTGGCAGGTGCCTTCAGCCTCAGAGATGTTCACATTCTTCAGCTTCACTCTGTTGACGTGGGTGATTTGGCACCTAGGCTGGGCCATGAGCAAGCCATGGGGCTTTTTCACATTCCCCATGACAGGAGGAGACACTGCTGTGGGCAGGAGAGGTTCTTGTTTCCCTTGTGGGAAGCAGGGAGAAGGACTTGGTTTATCCCACTCACCAATGTTGCTCTGAAATGAAGATTTTTTCTAAAATTCCCTATTCCATCTTGCTGTTTCCTCTCCAGCCCATGAAAGCACCTTTTTATAATGTTTGTCTGACCAGGTGAAAGAAATGAGAGTGTAGGATAAACACAGTCAATGGAAAAAGTAGTTTAAACTTTTTTCTTTAGAGCAATTTACAGGCTGCTATACTTAAGAAAAGAATTATTGTTTTACTGTGGTTCTAACTGACTTGATTACCCAGAAATTATGATTTTAGAGGGTTCAATAAGCAAGAAACATATGATATATATTTAATCATAGCCTATATTCAGAAATATGCTAGTCATCTTTTTTCTTGATAGGCTGACATCTTACTCTTATCTTTAGTGTATTAGCTACCCCTTAAACCATTGGTTAGCTAATAGCCAAGTATGAAGTGTCCTACACACTCTTCAACTGATCTCTACCTACTAAATTTAGAGCAGATTGGAGGCAGGCAGATAAAGGAGTGAAACACTAGCACAAAGGAAACCTCATTGATGTGAAGGATACTCTGCTACATTGGGAGCTTCTGCTACTGGTAGTTATCCAGTGTTATGAGTTTTGAGAAAAATCAGGAATGCTTTTACAGAGATTTAAGAAAAATTGAATCATTCTGAAGAGGCAAAATACTGTTGAGAGGTCACTGTCTTCTGGTGTACTTTCTATGATCTTGCCAGTCTCAGAAAGCTCTAGTTTGATGGGTAAGGTGTCAATACAAACACTTCTCATTTTAAAAAGACTACCCCCATCTTAAGAAAAGACACATGTTCTCTCTCAAACCATAGTGATTTTAGAAGACATCTTAATAACTTCCATTATTCTGACAGATTTAATCATAAATACAGTGTGTTAGGATACTTTTTGGACTAAAGACATGGAGCTCTCCTTATAAAACAAATAGGTTTTTGCAGATGCAACCCTTTTTTTGAGGGGCAGCAAAGAGGAGGCAGCACTAGTGCTTTTAGCCTGAAAGAGGTACTAAGGTAACTCTACTCCAGCCTGGACACAAACATGTGAAAAATGCACTCAGAAGAATTCTTATCTGTTACAGAAGACTCTCTAGTGGCTATAGTATTCCCTGATGTACAGGGAATACAGATAATCTACTTGGCATTTATTTTGTTATGCTGCACATGTGATATTTTAGTCTTTAACCAACTGTATATCTCTTGGGAAAATACAGGAAGAGCCCCTCCACGCTCCAGAAATCAAGATCCCCCAGTCTGTGAGAGGGTCACAGGATTGTGCTCATGGAGCAGCCAAGCTAATGCACACCATCATTAACAAAAGCAGCATTTCTGACACTCTTTCTCATGATCTCCCCAGCAATCAGGCTTATTCTAAGAAATGCAGCAGCTCCACAGCTCCTCTGCAGCCCGTGGCCGCTGTTCCCGCCGTACCTACCTGTGATGACAGCCTCAGCTGTAGCCATGTGCATGAGCGTGTTGTCACTTACTGGCCACTTGTCAGGAGACAGCACCAGGTTCTCGAGCCCTCCGATTTCCTTCAGCTCCTGCTGGATTTTTGCTCCTAAGGCATTGTTTTCACGGGAGAAATTGCGATAGCCGAGAGCATCCCCTACCCCAGCCAGAACAAGTGCAGCCTTAAATTTATCCATGCCCAAGGCACTTTCCACTTCCCTTTTGCTCGAGACAGCCACCGAATCTCGATCTTCCTTTGTTCCTTTGCCTTCTACTCAGCTTCCCGACACTTTATATCAGCCATTGTGTCACACCAAGAGCTCTCTCTATAAGGCAAGGACTTCCTTTTCTGGCTCTGCAGATGCCATCTCTTGTCTGGGACCCGACAGAGAGGAAATATTTCATAACCCAGGGATTTTGCAGGGGCTTCGTTCAATGAAACTGTAAGAGCAGACCTGCAAAAGCCTCGTTTCTGCAACCCAGCTTAAAGCAAGCCAGGAGATCCTTAGCCCTACCCTGCCAGAGTAACTCTACACCCAGAAAAACAGATGCCTCCACAGGGGTGCTCATTTATTCAGCAACTTGTAAATTAATATTTTTTCTTCTGCCCATTTCTGATACGCTGAAGTCAGCCTCCCTCTCAGGGACCAGTCAGAAACAAAGGCCATTATAAAAGCAGTCTTCCAGGCTCTGCACAATCTAGAAGGAGGGATTAAACAGTAAGAAATCAAGTGAAATGCAGATAACCTCTCCCATTTCTAATTACACCCTATGGCAATATTTTGTTAACAGCTTTCTTGTTCTGTTCACCTAGTACAAGAATGTTCTGCTAATTCACTGCACCCCTGGATAAACACTGAGCAAAACAACAACTTCAATTCCATGCCTCTTACTCCCTGGCAAAGAGTGACTTTTTCCTAAAGCTGAGGTCAGTCCACACTTCGACTCTGGAAGGAAACTATTTTCAAAGATGTATTGAAGTGGCATCCTGTGAGTCTAATAAAATCCTAAAGACTCACAAATTACTACTCCATTACAGACAGAAATAGAAATGTAAGTATAAACATAGAGAGGTAAACAGAAAGCATTGATTGACTTGACTGTAATTTTGATAACTGATACCAGGGGAAAGGTCTTTGTTTTCTGTGATCTTTTCCAGAGGGCAGTACTGGTTGCTATTCAGATGGAAAAGGCCAGCAATATAAGGAATGCATCATCCTGCACCCAAAGCAACAAGTTAATAAGCAATTAGTTAATCACAGTCTGAGTTATTGACCTGTGTAGAAATATCTCTGTACATAATGGATTTTCATGACACAGAGAAGCATTGCCATGCCTGCTCTACATTAGAAGAAATAAAGTGCCCAAATGGTGAAAGTAGCTTCTGTTAGTGCCCTCTTGTTCTAAAGATGGGGATTGGTTAACAGAAGTGCTGAAAAGGACACTGAGAGTGTGTTTTCATTGCTAGAAAGTCACAGTGCCGTGCTGAAAAAGCAAAAAAAAAAATTAAAAAACGAGAAAAAAAGGACAATATACCTTAGGGATCAGAAGATAGGCAGGGACAAGTATCAGTGGGGCATGGCCAGCCTGCTCTAGGGCTGGCTTGCCACAAGTGGTGGATGCCAGCCCTGTGGGGGGGCAGGGGGAACAAGCCTCATGTCCCACAACCAGGACATTTACACAACACAGAGGTAATCTTAGAGCCACCCCTGCTCTGCAGGTTGCCACACGTTCCACGTGTCTGAAAACAAACACTAAAAATGGAAAACCAAGGCCAGGGCAGCTTACAGAACACACCAGGCAGAAGCACTGAGGTTGACATCTCTGTTACAGGTCCCTCCACCCCTCTGTGGCACACACCTGTTCTCTATCCCTGCATAGCATCACGGTTTGGAGGCACGTGGGCATTTGAACTTGCAAAGCAAGGACAGGAGGAATCACCTGCTGAGGCACTGTGGTGAGCTAGGAAGGGCCTCATCAGATGGAAGGTTGCTCCCTGAAAATGGGCAAAGCTATTCTTAGTTTTCCATTTATCTTTTTCTTCCGAATGTGGCTGGCAGTTGCACTGCCCTTTTGCCTCCCATAGACTTCATTCTGTTGCAACACAACACACTCAGCTGCTCAGAACACAGCCCAAATTAGGTATAAGGCTATAATAAAAACCCAGAGAAAATTTCAGAGAAGTTCTCTTTTTCAACTCTGTAAAACAGAACATGCAGTGAAGACATTTTTATATAATTTTTTAATTTCACATTATCTCCTTTTCATGTGGTACTTCCAGCTGCTGTGAGCTTTCTGAGCAGAAGTAGGCTAGACACACTAAACTACCCCTACTTCCCACAAAGGAGACAATTGTTTGTAAAATATACCTATAAGTCTTAAACAGATATAAAATACAGTAATTCCATGAAGATGGGTAACTATTCACAATAGGAAAAAAAAAAAGAAGATCTGAGCAGAGCTAGCAAAACTATTTGGTAAATCATATTAAAATGCATCTTTGGTGTCTTTTCATTAGTGTACATATGACAGCTTTCAGATGGGGAGAATCCATAAAAAAAGGAATGGGAACGCAGGACAGAGAAAAGGCTTGTCTGTGCTGGTGACAACACACTGTTGTTTCAGCTCAACTGCATTTGGAACCCGAGGTGAGAACATGAAAGCAGCCTTTGGCAAACGTGCCTCCTGTGCCTTCTCCAGCAGAGGGAAGTGCATGGGTGGGCTCCAGGCCCGGGACAGAGCCCGCGCCTGCTGCTGAGCTCTGCTCCCAACCAAGGAACCAGCAAAGGGAGCTGGACTGATGCTGTGTCCACACAAACCCTTTTTAGGTTAAAAGAGGACTGCACCCCAAATGCTTCACTGTGACTGAGTGATCCTTTGCCAGTCAAAGACACTTGGCAGAGAAATGCTCTTGATTCCAACTTCACCCATCCAAAGGATGCAGAGCCATATCCAGGAAAAGTAAGGTTGATACCAGGTGGGTGCCAGACTTCTGTCAGCTCTTGGAGTGAAGGATTTTACTTGAGCTTCAGGATCATTCCTTTAAAACACATTCATTGAGATCCAGGAAAAAAATAAACTGGTTTTACTCAATTCTTTAACAATGAAGATGAATTATTTCCATATAGCTTTACACTACTGCCTTGAAGGAAAAAGATCCTTTAACACCACAGGATGGAGTCTTTCTTTACTGTCTTGACAGAAAGCTGAGGTCATGACATGAAACCTATAGGGTTTGCCAAACAATAGAGTAGTTAACTGCTGGGAAAAGAGGCACAAAAAACCCCCCATGGGAATTGGTCAAATATGTGCACCAACAAGAGGAAGTATCCCAGTGCTCAATCAAAATGTGAATGCCCCTGAATTTCCCCAGCACTTCTCATGAAGAGGTGAACATTGCACCCACTGGTCTGAAATAGAGTATGTTCTGCATGTGGTTGTAGAGGCAGCTGCAGTTGCAGATCCCTCTGTCAACAGTTTAGAACTAAAAAGTTAATTTTAGAGGTGTGTCACCTAGTTCTACCCAGCAGACTGCAGATAACAAAAAGTTCAGAAAACATGTTTTGCTGAGCAGGTTTATGGCTTTAAAAACATGACACTTTTTCAGGAGGGCTGTGCCTTTTGGTGAGCGAGATGCTGGCTGGCATCAGCTGAGGGAAGTCAGTGGGGCTGACACTGTAATGAAAACAGGCTTGCCATGCTTCAAGTATCATCTGCAGCTTCACTGTCACAGGAATAGACAAAACTTGTGCAACACCAAAGCGGCCCATGGTTGGTGAAAGCACTGGAGAAGGATGGCAGCTGGCTGAAGATAGAGGACAACTTACTTATTTTGACTTGAACTTTCAGAAGAGAATTAATGATAGGTGAATGCGTAACTCTGAAGGTCTTTGCACAGATTTCTGAGTATGCTGCTTCTCCAACAGAGCTCAGAGCCAACTCTGAGCAACACTTCCCTGCAAAAACAACAGCTCCCACTGCCAGCACAAACAAATGACACAAATAGTGGAGAGTCTGGTGACCAGCAGATACATGCAGTGAATACAGCACTGCAGCTAAACATGTCAAGCCTCTTAAAAGCTTAACAGTGAGGTGACACAGATGACCAAACCAAATATTTATTAAGGCCATTTAAAAATTAATGAGTTACATCCTTACCCCCTTCTGGCTGGTGGAGTAAGTAACACAAGAACCTAATAAATGAACCAGAAAACAACAACAAAAAAGTCCCACTAGACCAAAACTTCCAAAGCAGAAAACTGAGAAGAACCATACAGACATCTCACATGACTGACTTCAATCCTTTGACAGTCCATTTATTCCTTTTTCCAGTGCCAAAAAATATACACACATGTACAACTTACTCAGCAGCAAATCTCCCAGGTGCTTTGAATGAGCAGATGCCTGCAGGTTTGCTCTCCTTGGCATGACACACATGATAAATTACATTTAAATTTAGAATTGGCAAGTACAAATCCTATGGCTCAGTTTCAAACCAAACAACTTGGCACCAACTTTAAAAATACATACAGCATATCTGTGAAGTAATACTGTATGCACTGAACAACTTGAAGACATCTGTACCATTTAGGATTATAAATTGAGCAGCCTAGGTGTTACCACTGTATCAGCTTACTTAAAATGGAAGTCAGAGTACCCTGTAAAGTGAAACTGCAGACAACAGCAAATGATTAAAATATGTAAGAAACTTGTAAGGTGAAAGCAGTTTATTTGCATTTTTTATGACTGTTCAAGTTTGAAGGTGTTACTTCATACAGGAATGTAAAAATCACATGTTGTTTAAAATGGGTAGAGGAGCAGGAAGAAAAAAAGAAAAAGGAAAAGTGTAGCAAACCTCAAAATCTGGCTCACAAGGATCAACTACTATCTCTGGAGTATTTTGCCCAGTCTTCCACTGTCACCCATGAAGGATTCCTCCAGGAATGAGATTTAAGAGTGTGTGTGTATATATATACACACACACACTCTGAATCCTGGGCTAAGCATCTCTTCCTTCTTGCTCTGATTAACAAGGAAAAAAACCCTCAACCCACATGCATTTTTTATGCTCTATTTATTCTAAAAGGTAGAAGGTTCATCAGAATGATTTGATGGAGATCTCATTACAAGCAAATGTTTCACAAGCTCTAGTGCTATGAAACTTCAGTTACATCACATACCAACAGATTAAACTACTTCTGGTCAGTTATATTTTATCTATATATTTTAAATGGCAGTTGTGTGAGTAACAAGCATTCCATTGTTTCTGGCTAGGTAAATGCACTTGATGCTGTAAAATGCTACACATTCTACAAAGCTTGTGAGACAGATATAGAAATGGCTTCTTTTGAGGAGGAGGCATAGATAAATCAAAAGCATTAAAAAGAGTAGAACTGCTTCTAACTCTCTGCTGACTTCTGTAGAATGCTTGGAGTTACACAAATGCCCTTCTAGAAGGATGCAGTCAGAAAGCAGCAATTTGGCAGAGCCTCAGTGGGTAACTCTGCACAGGAGCTCCAGGCAGCAGCGGGTTCAGACGCTGACACCTGGCGGCTGTTTGGCCAGGGCTGACACTCACAAAAAGAGACAAATACTCATACCAAATCACTCACAGAGCATTTGTAACTTGCTTGCTAGGCTCTTACTAAGAGAAAAATCACTAATTTGTTCCAATTTTCCCTCACCTTGCTTTTTAAATGCCATGCACAACTGAAATTCTAGCAAGTGGAAGAACGAAGGCAGTCTCTGTATGCAGCATATACACTTGTTCTTGCACGTTGTGTTGACATAATGCTTGTATGAAACTCTAAATATTAGAGTTTAAGAGAATATTGTAAGCTTTTATACCCTGGCAACTACAAAATAAAAGAGTCTGCTGTCATGCAACACTTCAACGATCTAAACAGATATAATTTATATAACTTAATGCACTATTTTCTCAAAAATTCTTGCATCTATTCAGCCTTAAATACAGAAAATATATTGATCATAACTGTACATACTCTCTAGCAAGTCTTCATTTTACCAGACCTGTACAGTGGCTATGACAAACTCATTTTGATGAGGTAGCATTTGCAAGAGCCCTGTATGAAGACACGCTGAATAGTTTCTGGTAAAACCTTTTTGTGCTCAGACATCAGAAACACTGATGAGAAATAGAAGACTGACACCACTGTGCACTTCATAATCAGTGGCTGGCAAAAGGGGAGAAACAAGTGACTGAACAAATTCAGATTTGGTGAAAACTGGTCCAATTTCACCAGCCTTGAGATCACTGAAACTGCATTAATTTGCTTTGTAATCCTCTTAAATATAATTGAATGCGCAACACATTCATAGGCATGAACACTTATTAATTTGAAGTCTCCTTACCCCTAACTATTTCTCCACCATGGAAGCCAAGTAGTTAAGTCTTTGGGCTTACTCACATCTATTTTCTGTGAGAAATGCCAGGAAATTAATTTACAACTATGTTGCATTTAGCTAGAATTTATGATATGTTTCAAGCTACAAATAAAATCCATATTCCACCAGTTCATTATTAAAAATAAATAAAACACATAATTGGAGACTAACTGAATTATGATAACTAAACATGAATTATAAAAGCATCTTTGGTTGTTTAATGTCTGATCTAAAATGGTTACTAAAAAAAGCTGGAGCTGCAACACAGCACAGAGCAGCAGCCTGTCCTCAGCAATGCTATTGTTACATGTCCAAGCACTTCAAGAAGAAAAATGAGGAAGTCAATTTCACTGGGAGAGAGCAAAAGGCTGGATGTAATCACTGTATACATCTAGGATGTGAAAATACATATTTAACATTTTGGCAATAAGTTAAAAACAAAAAAAAAAAGTTCATTTGCTCGGGGATTTTTTACAATTCTGTATTAAGACAGATCCACAGAACTAACTTTTATAAAAATACAACATACTGCATAAGTTTTATTTATGGATTTAATTTATATACCACAAATACTGCTTTTAATATAAGTACAATATAATACATTTTTATTTATGTAACTGCTGGTGTTCACTTTGGATTATGAACTGAATGGCATGCTGTGCTGTCAAAACTTTAATAAAATGGCCTCTAGTTAAACTTCTCCAAAGTATAAAATCATGCAAAATCTACATCCTATATGATACAACCAGTACAATAATTGAAGCCAATAGCCTACAAACAGCTTGGATCTTCTGAGTTTGTTCTTGAAGTGTCCACACATCCACCATCATTTTCTTTAGGCAGAAAGGAGGAATTGCAGTTTTGTCTGCAGAATGTCATCACGACCACTGAAACCAGCACCAAGGTGCAGTTATCAGCTAACAAATCTTCATTACCCACTGCAGTTCATTCAGTCCAGATCAACAAATCTGGGGTTAGGAAGTTTTATGCTTTCCTCCTGTGACTACTGGTCGTGCATATTCCACAAAATCATCTATTAGAACAGGCCATGCTCCTACAGAGAAATCAAGCAATTGAGAAATTAGCCAACCATTACCAGCAGCAAACTGGTGTAGTCTACAAATACAAAGTATTAGAAGCTCATCTTGACATTCCTGGCCTTGTCTTTAGCTTTAACAGGCAAAACATAATAAAATACTTGAAAAAAAACACCAAACTAATAAATTCCACATTTGAATCTCTTCTTTCTAAAGACAACCAAAACATATTTAAAACACAGAACTCCACACTACAACTATAAACATTAGCTGAAAGCAAAACCACGGCATTCTTATTAAGCCATTCATATCTTCGGACTTATTTCTGCACACATTCTAAAACAGAATTAGTAACAGAGTAAACTGCATTTAGAGTAACAAAAATTTTTGTTGGTAAATTTAGGGTAACAAAAACATTGTTTCACTCAGAGGTCTATAGCAAAACACATTCAAATAATGTGCTCCATCATGGTGTGACTGTATCTTTACCCCTGTTTTCAAATTACAGCAAACCAGTTAACTTTCTTATCACTACTATTTTGGCAATAAGTATGACACTGTATTGGCAGCTGAAACTTTAAGGGTAAACAAATTAGGACACGAGGTAATAACATGTTCTCTTGTTCATTTATAGCAGTATATTTAATTCTGCTGTACCAATTTTTGAAGATATTCAGGTACTGCTTTATAGTAGAGGAATTGTATTAGAATATGTGTATAGAGGCTTTGGCCTGGGAGGTCCCGGTTGCCCTCGATGGGCTGCAGCTGCAATGTACTTAATTGGGCTGCAGCTGTGACCAATGAAGATAACTGGGATAAAAGGGGGCGGGTCAGCCAGTCAGGGAGAGCCTTGGAGGAGCTCTGACCTGAGAAAGAACAACATGCAGAAGAAGGAGTCTGTGCAGCAAGGATCTGCAGCTATGAGACTACACCCAAGAGGTATGGACTTTAGAAATCTGATAATATCATTATGGGACTCTAGAAATAATAGAAGAACAACACTGCTTACCTTCTTCATCATAGTTGGACATATCATCTGCAATCATATTTCCAAAATCTAACAAAAGATTCCAAGTATCTTTTGGAATTGATCTTTTATGATGTTCCTGTACAGAGGAATAACAGTACTGTTCAGTCCAAACTACTTTCAAATTCCATAACAGTATTTTATATTGACACATACAGAAATACACTTATTTCAAACATTTCTTCACCTTCTTTATCTTAAAAAAAACAATAACAGAAAGAAATCCATCTGAAAGACTACCTGCTTGCTTCTTTCTTAGGTTGAAATCTTTTAAGTACTTCTTCTCAGCTAAATGTTCAGGTTACATATTTCTTCTAGAGTAACACGCTTTAATACCAAGTCATAACTTGTAGATTTTTCTTCAGTTGCATCTATAGATCTGAGTTTGGATGTCTTAAAATGTACTGAGGCAGTTAAAACATGAAATAGTTTCAGAAGCCCTCTTGATGAAACTGGTACATTATTCACTGATTCAAATAAATATACTGCCAAAAATTTTAGAAAAAAACTACAGAAAAATATTTCAAAAAGTGTACATCTTCCTTATTAAGCAGTGGGGGACAAAAATGCAGAAAGACTTTTGATTTCTCTAAACTACAGATAAAAAGTAAAATGAAGAAAATCAAGATAAATTATATATTATGTAACTTCATTTTTTGTAATAATATAGACATGCAAATGAAGAAATATGGATGAGTGAATCGGGTCTTTTACAAGAATATTTTTGAATTTCTAAGGTTTAATTTATGCATCTTTACTTCACTGCCCACAGAACTGCACTAGTAATAAGGAAACTGTCAAGATCAGTTCGCTACTAATAGCTAAAAAATTAATCAACCTAATTACTCAGGCAAAAAAATTTGTGGAAAATGGAAAGTCTCTTAATGTTAAATTATGGTAGGACTGATTTAAAATGACTGAGTTTATGCATTAGTACTACAAAAGCAGAGCATGGTAAAATACATGGTTGACAATAATCACAGCTGGGATATTTTATCACTGAGAATCAGCAGCACCAGTTCATGGTTTCCTTTCATGCAGAAACTTTTCCTAAGTAGGAGGATACAGGAATAAGCAAGCAGAACACTCTATCACTTTGCTGCATCTTTTTGCATTCTTCTAAATTAGAAAGCCATAAAGAGAAGATTTAATTTGGATTGATTTGAGAGTATTTTGTATCAGTTTTCAAAAAGGAAAAGGTTTGAAGGAAGCATAGAGACACCCCATCTTTTTGTTATTGGAAGCACACAGCCAACAAAAGCCAGACTACTGTGGATAAGATAGACAGTAAGGAATAAAGCACATACTTACCAACAAAAATTTATTCCAAAGATCTAAAAATTTAAACCTTCCTGACAAGACTAAATTCCAGTATGCAATTGCCATTTCAAGATCTGCAAGAGATAAAGCAACACATAAATACTGTAGTACTTTATAAGCAATAAACCCCTTCTGGTTAAACTATTAATGCTACTTCTAGTATATTATAATACAAGTAAATAACACTCTTTCAAAATCACTAAAAAAACTATAAGGAATTGTTTTCTACTCTCCCTGACCAAAAAGGTAGAAGACAAACAGTAACAATGTAGATTTTGTATTGAACATCAAAGTCAATAAAACTAAAATATTTGTCACCATCCACCAATGGCAGATTAAAACTACTTTCAATCTACAGAAATAGAACACTTAATGATAAATCTCTCTGCAAATCAAAAAAGAAAAATATATACACACATGCACAGATACAGCAAATATTGATAGAAACAAACATTTAAATCCACAGATGTCAACGCCTCTTAATTTGTCATATTTTGTACTCACTTGACTTTGAAAGGAATTTAAGGATATGAGTGGATGAAAAAAGTCATTTATCTGTGGTATTATCCCTTACAGCAATAATTCTGGCATCATTCAGTGGACAAACACCTACACCCAGTACTGAAAATACAAGTCCAAGACATCAGCCTTATTCTGTATCGTGACCATCTGAGAGCAGGGCTCAAGGAAGATGCAGCACTGCCACATGTTCCAGCAGAAAGGCAGCAGCAACATTAGATGCAGCTTCAGGGTAGAAAAGATGTTTCCTTGAAGGCCTGTTTTCATCCTCAGCAGCTCACAATGCCTAATGGCTTTGGTGCTTGCACTAAGTACATGATCACTACAACCATAAAATAAGGCACAGCCTTTCTGAAACCACAGAAACATTTCAGCTTGTGCTTTCAGTATAAACAAAGTGTAAACAGAACATGAAGCTTAAGAGAAAGTACTGTGATAGCACATAAAACAGAAGCTCAGCCTGCACCTACAAGAAGAATGGTTTTTGAAATTATATATATCACACTACAAACCAAAGGACAATGTCACCTGAAATCAAGCTTCATGTCTGAAAGATGTTCCAGATTTTAACACTGCCCTGCCCCTGGAGTCCCTGTTTCAGACAGGGCTGGGGCCTGGATGAAGTGCAGCAGTTAAGATGCAGAGAAATGCAATATGCCTCTACCTGTCTACACAGGGACAGTGCTGCCAGGGTTTGTCCTAACACGGTCAGTGCTCTTCAGTACAGAATTTGAATTATGCTCTAATACCCTTCCTTCAGCTCTTCCTGTCTATGCCACCACTTCCTCTCATTTTTCACAAAATATATGAGGAAGAGAGTAATTAATAGCCTTACTTGCTGCTTAGCTATGCAGATTAATTATTCTTATCTGTTATCCCAAATTAAAAGCAAAAACAATGAAAAAGGCAAAACCTAATAGTTTCTAAACTCCACTGTGAAGTAACTGGCTTTGATCCCACTCACTCAGGCTTCTTTATGGAGACTCAACCTCTCCAAGCAAATCTTGCAAATCTATCATGTGACAACTTCAAGCAAAATGCACTTTGAAAGAATCTTTCAACTTAATAGTTGAAAAGATTATACTTCTGATGGAAATATTCCTTGGAAAAAGGAAGAAAGTACAGGTAGGGAAACAAAGATGATTAAAGGTACCACAAAAGAAGAGGTAAAAGGGAAAGAAGAGAGAACACTTCCTTGTTTTTTGTTAAAGTCAGTACTATGTTAGGGTGATTCTTGCAAAATTATGTTTAACACAACGCGTGTGAAATACTGTCTTAAGCTGACACTCGAGGGACACTGTACATGTGTCTGCCAATGAATTCTCCTGCACAAAGATGCAGAAGTTATTTGCTATAACATATGAAAAATGCATATCCCACTGAGGATGCTGCTCTGTAGTGGATCAAACAGGTCCACACTAGAGCTGTTCCTCCGACTAGGCACATGGAGGAAAGTTCTCATTTCACTAAAATTTGCTAAAGGGAGGAAAAAAAGTTCATCTTTCTCATCTGGTTCACTGTAATCCCACAAAGCCATCAACTAACACAAGTGTTATTTGAACACACGGACTAGATTGGATTATCACTTTTGGTACTGAAAGTGCCACCTTATGCAGCCTGTAAGTACATGAGCAAACTAGGCCTTCAGGTTTGCCACAATCTCTGGGGATATGCCTACACTTCTGTTTGAAGACAATTCCATGCCTAGGTTGAAAAATCTGGCATTGGAGAACAGAAAAAGAGGATTTTTCTGCTTTAAAGGGAAGACCTAGTTAGAGAGTTCAAGCCTACATTAGCATGCTGACAGTAGTATCAATAAACAGTACTTCTGGGGATCTGCTACAATTAGTGCTGCACTGATAGATACTGAAAAAAAGAGAAAAGACCTTATGCATTAGGGCTCTGCATTCCCACAGGAAGATGCTTTTGCAAGGCAAAAATTCTTCAGGCAGTCTTAGGAATACCTCTTTCAATGCTGAATAGATATGAAGGCATCATTACAATAAGAATCAAACTACAACTATAAAATATGCTGGGTTTTTTATACCAAAATATATGCTACATTATTGGTCTATAACGTGGGTAACTTTAATAAAGAGAAGAAGACAGATGCATGGATCTCTGAAAACACCTAGACAAGGGTCAGTTTAAAAGAGAATTCATTGCTAACATCCATTTTCATATCCAAAGCATGAAATTGCTAAAAGGTTGAAGAACATCATAAAAATACGATATCGTATACTGTACATTATGTATTTTGAGCTTTCCTTTCGACCCAAAAATATTTTTAGTATTGATATCTAGTGAGAATTGTACGTCATGCAGACCCTTAAACAATCAGCTTTTCTCAATCAGAAATAGTATTTTGCATGCAGCATGATCTATCCTCAAACATTAAAACCTCATTCTAAACTGGCTTTTAAAAAAACCTTAGCCTCGTCTATCCTGATTGAACAGAATAGTGGTATAAACAGCAAAATTAATGCAGAAGGAGAAATACAGCCTGTGTCTACTTTTAAGATTTGACCAAATCTTGTTAAGAAAGGAAAAAATTATTAGATTGCTGCATGAAAAAAATAAGAAACAAATAAGTTCCTCATGCTATGATTTTGGACCAGGGCAATGAAGTCATTGCACCCTAGAAATTAAGGAAGTGTGAAAACAAAAAGAGAAATAAGAGATAGCAAGGAATTGGCTGGAGAGCAGGATTTCTGAGGAACATGAAACGCAGCTGATTTACACCTGCTGTGCCAAAACCGCCCTCTGGGACTGCAGCACTCACTCGTCATCCTCCAACAAACAGAGCTTTCCAGCTCTCAGTCTGCCCTACCAACAAGACCTGTTCATACACTTGTGTTTGAAATGGAGAGAATATTATCACTAATTCACCTGAATTACTAATAGAACTTTTCAACACTGTGTTGGAACTGATGCACAGGTAAGAACAATGGAAGCTGGTGTCAATCTGTCTCAACAACAGGTCTATAATACCTGCCTGACCAATAAGCATCAAGTGAATACTTGCAAGATTCAGTGATTTAATAGATTCCTTGTTTCTTAATTTCTGAGTGATTTTAAGAGTCTTCTTTGGCCTCCAAATTGCTAAGAGCACAGACACAAGAATTAGTTTCTTCTTTCCTAATCAGCAAAATAACAAGAATATACCATGAGGATTAGACCTAAAAACACTTAATTGAATTGCCAAAAGCTTAGAGCAAAACAGGCTGTAGTTGCAACTGGAAGCTCCCCCAGAGAAGATAGGCAGAAGGGGAAAGAACAAGTTAAGGGGGGTGATACAAATACAGATCATGGCTAAAGTCGGGATCTAGCTGAGCTGGATCCGCTCATCCCTGCAAAGGCATCAACAAGGAGCTTCCCAGTGCCCTGTGTTAGGGGACAGACAATGCAGTGTCAGGCTCAAGTGCCTGTGGTGGACAGGAGGAATGGTAAAGCACAGCACAGGGCTTTCACAGGAGCAGGAGCCCAGCAGGGTCTGGCTGTGCTCACTGGCTCTGTCTCAGCATCTGCCAGGCTGAAGCAGCCTGATTCCATGCAGAACATTTCATGTTTATCACCTTAAGCAAAAAACAGATGAACTACTTTGGAATGCAACTTAGATTTAGGAGATGACTGTCAGAACATCAGTTTGAGTGCAACCTAATGAACCTGACTGTAGCCAGTTCAAAAATCCTTTTGCCTCTCTGCAAATCTCTCCATGTACCATTCAGATAAACAACAACAGAAGACTTAAAGTTGACTGGATATTCCTTTCCCAAACAAGGCCCAAACATGAGTAAAAGAATCAGTGGGGCATTAGTAGAACTGGACACACTTTTACTGATCAAAACACCTTTTCTATACGAAGTTTCCCTTAAACTGCTGGCATTTTCAATATGGAAAATGTGAACAAAAATAAAGCAAGAACCATACACATAAACCAGGGTCACTGGAACACCTAAAATACAGCATTTACAGACCTCTTACAAAATAAATATAAAATTCATTTATAGACCTCACTCAAATTCTTCCATGCACTCACTCCTACAAATTGCCTATCAATCTAATTCTTCATTGAAAGGGGAGGACATCTTGATAACTAGCTTGGGGGGAGGGCAGGAGTAAAAAAAGAAAACAAAACAGAAAGAAAAAATATCCTTCCCTAATGTCTAAAGATCTCTTCAAAGAATCTTGAGATACTGCTATGATAAAAGCCCAGCTGATGTTGCTTCAATTAAAAAGAGTACATTATACTCATCTGCTTATAGGAGAGGAAACCTCCTTGAAGTCCACATACCGGATGCAAAGATAGTCATTCTTCTGGTCTTGAGGTAATATCTGATTCAAGTCTGAATGCCCTCCTCATCTTTCATCTCTTGCTTGATCCCAGGAAACTGGCAGAGAGAAGGAAGCACAACCTTTTGAGCCAGCAAGCAGACGAAGGGATCACAAAGAAGTGATGAAGGACCCAATCGGCTTTTTGTTTCCATGTTGGAAGGTGAAGACCATGAAAGAATGCATTAAGCTCCTCCCTGGGGCTGAAACAAACTCTAACAAA